TACATGCATGAGCCATGGACATGAACAAAGAAAGGGAGATCCACCAGAGGGAGTGGGGGGTGCTGGGTGGAGGGGGGCAAAGGGGGTAAAGGGGGAATAACTGGGGCAACTGTAATAGCATTATCTATTAAAAAGACACTAATTTCTCAATCATAAGAGAAATGCAAGTTAAGACTGCACTTGCACTTTCAGACTAGCAAATGCTATCAGGATTTGATAACCCTGCTGGTAAGGCTGTGGGAAAACCAGCACTCCAGACAGTATAAATTGGCACAAGTTGGGAGGGCAATTTAACTGTAGCTATGCAAATCAAAAATACATGTATTCTTTGACTCAGTAATCCTGCTTATAGAAAATCATCTCACCGATAAACTTGTGCATAAATTATCCATCACAGCACCGCTTGTGAATGCAGAGGTACAGGCAACCATATATATGCCCAAGAGGAGACTGTACAAATAAATGGTAGCACTCAACTACAAAAAATGATGAGGGTGTTACGCTCCCACTAGAATGGCCAAAATTCAAAAGATGGACAGCACCAAATGTTGGTGAGGGTGTAAAGAAACTGGGATTCTCATACATTGCTGGTGGGAATGTAAAATGGTACAGCCACTTTGGAAAAAGCTTCTTAAAATAGTAAATTCTAACCCTGCAATTCTACTACTAGATATTTACACATGAGAAATGAAAACATATGTTTACATACAAAGACTCACACAGCAATTTTGTAACAGCTATATCTTAGAAAGCCCCAGCCCCGGCTAGTTGGCTCAGTTGGTTGGAGCATTGTCCCATGCACCAAAAAGTTTGGGGGTTCAATCCCCAGTCAGGGCACACAGCTAGGTCGTGGGTTTAACACCCGGTCAGGGTGTGTATGGGAGGCAATGATAGATATTTCTCTCTCATACCCATGTTTCTCTCCCTCTCTCTCCCCCTTCCTCTCTTTCTAAAAATCAATAAACATATCCTTGGGTGGGGATAAAAAATAAATAAAAATAAAAAACTCAAGAAACCCCAACCTGGAAGAACCTAAATGCTAACTGGAATATAGAGGAATGTACTTCCCTATACCATGGAACACACTCAGCACTAAAAAGAACAAATGATCGATACACTAAACAATGTAAATGAATCTCAAAACCATGAAGAAAGAAGGCAGCCAGACACAAGAGTCCATGCTTTATGATTCCATTTCCATGAAGTTCTAGAATATAGAAAACCCATCTATAGACAGAAAAACCAACGGCTGCTTGGAGTTGGGAGTGGGACAGATTGGGAAGGGGCACAAGGGAACTTTCTTGGAGTGATGGAAATGTTGTATGTGGATTGTGGCGGTGATTACACAGGCATATACATTTATCAAAACTCATCTACTTGCCTGACTGGGTAGTTCAGTTGGTTAGAATGTGTCCATATTGGTCAAGGTTTCAGGTTGGATCCCTGGTCAGGTTACATGCAGAACCAACCAATGAATGCGTACCTAAGTGGAACAACAAATCAATGTTTCTCTCTCTTTCTTCCCTTCCTCACTAAAATCAATTTATAAAAAGAATTTACTTAAAAAAAACTCATCTAATTGAACATGTTATATAGGTGCATTTTAAAAAATGTTTTATTTATTTATTTTTATAGAGAGGCGAAGGTGGGGGAAGAGGGAGAGAAACACCATGTGTGAGAGATACATCAGTTGATTGCCTCTCAGAGCCACGTCTTTAACTGGAGACCTGGCCAGCAACCCAGGCATGTGCCCTGATGGGGAACTGAACTAGGGACCTTTTGGTTCTCAGGCCAGTGCTCAATCTACCAAGCCACACCAGTCAGGGCTAGGTGCATTTTATTGCATGTAAATTAGACCTTAATAATAATGAGAATAGTGATAATGAGACCACTCTAAATTCACTGATATGAAGAATCTCCAAGGTGTATTAAGTGAAAAAAAAAATCAACGTGCAGGAAATGCTAGAGATGAAAATGTCTATTACATTGGGAATGTGTAGAATAATCCAAAGCCTGTACTGATAATTAGTGCCTTCCTGCTGAGGATGTGGGCTGAGAAGGTGCACCAGAAAGAGAGAGAGAGACACGTTCCTCGAACATCTTACACCTTTCGGTGTTTGAATCAGGCGACCATAGACTTCCCTTGTAGCTGGAACGTCTGCTGAATTGCCACACTTTGATTTCTCCAAAACAAATAGATTTAAAGTTAACTTCCCTCGCTGTGGGAATACTTGTTCGCTATCGGAATGTATTACTCGGTAGGGACAAACCTTTAAAACCAGAAAAAGATGGTACAGAGGCTGCAAGGATCCCTGACATCTTGGAGTCCACGGTTTTGTACAGTTTCCCTCCCCCCTGGGCACCACCAGGGACAAAAGGCCGCCCCTGCGCGCCGGTCCCACTGCCTTGCCTTTGCCGAAGCACGGAGCCGACAGGACCGCGGCCCCCACTGGCTCCCCACGCCCACGCGCGCGCCGCGGGGCTGGCAGCCCCTGGGACACAGAGACTAGCTCGGGGCCCCAGCCGCACCTGTGGCGTTCGCTCCGGCCTCCCTTCTCCCAGGGACCCTTCTGCCGCGTTCTCTCCAGGGGGCCTCTGGGCGGGACCGGTGACAAGTCGGGGACAGGGGTCTGCCTCCGGAGATCCGGGAGTGGGGTGCGCTCCTAGGAAGGCCCGAGCAGCAACAGGTGGCCCACAAGCCCTGGCTCTGTCCCCTCTGCTGTGGTCCTCAAAGTCTTACCCCGAGGGTCCGCACCCCAACCTCACCCTTCGCCCCCACAAGTAGGGGGCTCTCTGAGACCTATGGGGTGGGATGACACGGGCGGGTTCCCAGAGCGGGGCCGCACGGATTCCCGCCCCCGCCCTGCCCACGCAAGCTCTAGTCGGTAGAGGGCCTCTCCGGCCGGGAGGGTGGTCCAGGCTCCCCAAGGGCGCGCGAGCTCCGGGTCTGCAGGGCAGGGTCGGGTCGGGATCCGCTGAGGTCACGGCGAGGGCGGCCAGGGCTGCGTGGGAGGACGCACGGGGAGGGGTGCGGGCGAAGAGGTGGACGCGGGAGGGTCGGCAGGCGGCGGGCCCGCTGCACGGGGCGTGCGCCGGCGGTGACCCAGCGGGGGCGGGGCCCGCAGGCCCGGAGCCGAGAGCCGAGAGCCGCAGCGTAGAAGTCGAGGCGCTCACAGCTATGGGCTTGGGGTCTCGGAGAGCTCCAGGGTCTCCTGCCTTGCTGCTGCTGCGGCTGCTGCTGCGACCACCGTGGCCGGCGTGGGGGGCCGAGACACTTCGCGGTGAGTGCGAGAGCGCCCCAAGGGCAGGCTTGGCCACTGCCAGGGGATGGGGCGTTGGGACGAGGAACAGGGAGGGTTTGGGAAGCTGCTCCTGGGCCCTGCCCGGGGATTCTCACCTTTACTTGGGACCAGGGCCGGACTTGCACACTCTGCTCAGCGGCCACTGTGCCCACGACGAAGCGGAGTGGCAGGGACCCTTCCCCTTGAGCGGCGGCCCAGCCCTCCAACCCCTCTGCCTGGGTCCTCAGGCCCCTCCTCCAGCGGGAACATCCCTGCACCTCCTTCCGTTAGGACTCGAGGGTCTTCCTCCACTGCCCCCCGAGTGCCTGCTGTGACCTCAGACTAGGGCACTGACTGTGACCTCCGCACTCAGGCATCGCCCAAGCTCACCCGCCGTGGCAGGGCCTTGGGACAGCGCGTGTTCTGTCTATATTGTTGCCTTGTTTGGTGAGATACAGAAGGAGGGCTTCTCACAGAAGGTGCCTGTTTAGCGGGACAGGGAGGAAGGGTGCGGGGGGGGGGGGTGGCTCAGTTTCTTCCCAGTGTAACTTCTCCAAACCCCTTGTGAGACGGGGCTGGAAACAGCAACTTCTCAGAGTGGGCGGCAGGACTGGGGGAGTCCTGCACATCAAGTGCCTAAGAGGGGTCCGGGAGGAGGCAGGAAAGGCGGGGCTGGGAAACCTGAGGTGGGGCAGGGGGAGGCTGCAGAGCCCTGGGGCGAGGGGGGATGGCAACAGGGACTGGTCCCCACGCATTGCACTGATTCCTCCTCTTCATTCTGGAATCGGGGGTGGGGGGTGATGCCACCCCTGGGGAGAGTGGAGAAGGGCTCTGCGCTCCCCAGCAGCACCCTGGCTCCCGCCCCCGGCCCCGGTTTCTGCTCTCATCCACCTAGTCACCAGACTCCACTTCTGCCTCCCTGTTCCTCATCAGGGTGCCAGTGACCAGTATGTATGTGTACCAGGGGCCATGAGAACCCCCAACCCTCCCCTCCCCTCTCTGCCCTGGGAAGCCTGAGCCCAGCAAGAACTGGTTCTCCACCCTCAGTCAAGTCCACTCTGGGCTAAGAGACACACCCGCTCCCCAAAAGCACTCAGACCCCTCTCCACACCGGCCCCAGTCTGAGGGCAACTGCTGGATGGCAACTCACTCATCCAACCAGGGAGGCCTTCTTGGGGGAAGGGAACTTCTGGAGCTGCTGCTCTTCTAGGTCTTTGATGGTGGAGTCTGGGGGAGGAGACAGAGGAGGAGAAGGGGGTCAGGGTGGGAGTTGGGGAGCTGTCAGTTCTGGGGGCTGGGCTTCTCCAGGACTGAGTGTGGGAGGGAGGGAGGCCTGTCTGCTCGCTCTGGGCTGCCTGGGGCCTGGCTCCTGGCTGCTCAGGGCGGGTGTAATGAGAGCCACTGGGGCTCCTGGGGGAGGGGGTGTGGGAGCATTCCAGCCTCCTCTGAGTAATGCTTGGCTCTGGTATTCCTCCTGGAACCCCATAAAGCATACCAGGCCTGGGAGCGCTCAGGCTCTGTCCCCACGCGCCCCCCTCTGAGGACATGAGGAGCCGGCCTCTGGGCCAGGGTCCCTGGAAGCCTCATCACCAGCATGAAGCTCCCAAGGGCAGCTCGGAGCAAGGTGGGCCGCCCGCAGCAACATCCAGCTGTCGATCTTCTCAGAGGGTGGTGCAGACAGAGGCATCTGTTGCCCAGTCTAAAAATACCCAAGGCCACTCCCCTTTTCTTTCCTCTGGGCACTGGTAGCCTTGGTGTCTTCCTTGTGACCTTTGACACCAAGCCTTCCCCCAAGGTCAGTGGGGCTCCTGCATCCCCCACTGAACCATCCTTCCTAGACTCCTCTTTCTCTCTTCTGCCGCCTCCTGGACGACCCTCAGTTCCAAGGACACCCCGTGGATCGTTGAAGATGGCTGTTCCTCCCTGCTGCGCTCCTCTAGCCCCACCCCTCTGTGGTCCCCAGTCCCCTCCGTTCCTCAGGTTTCCCCTCACCCTTTTCTCTGTCCTCACATCAGGAATCGTCCCTGGGGAGCCAGTCACCCCTCGCTGGGTCCTGGATGGACAACCCTGGCGCCCAGTCACCCTGGAGGAGCCGGTCAGTGCCACATCATTCCTCCCTGTGCAGGGCCCCAGGGTCTCCCAGCCCTGTTGCCCCTGCCCAATTTTCGGTGTGGCCATTTTACTGGGTGCCCTGGATTCCCCCTCCCAGTCCTAAGGCTCCTCCCTGAAGGGTTGGCAGGCAGGGGCGGGAGGCATCCAGACTGCATGAGCCTGCACACATGGAAGTCATTTGCAGGCTCCCCCTCTGCCCCCGCCCCTTCTCTCCCTTCCTGAGACTATCCAGGCCACCCCCGTCCCATCAGGCAGTTTGTGAGGCATGAACTTCAGGGACCTCTTGAAGAAAACACCAAGATAGCTTCCTTTTGCAGATTACCAGAACATGTGACCCTGCAGACAGACACATGGTTGTCGCCTCCAGGCCCCTGCGATTGAGGGGCCTGAGACTTCAGCCTCACTGGCTCATGAAGAGTCCGTTCCTGTCCAAGGGCAGTGGCCACTCTCCTGATGGCACTCAGATGCAAGCCCACCACATTTTGCTTCTCTAGGATGCTCTGTCCCAGCCTCCTCCCAGCACCCACACATCACACCCCCAGGATAACCGTGGCCCTGTCTCTATTTGCCGCACAGCTGCGCTGCTAACCCGGAGGCCAGTGGCCTCTGCCTGCCCATGTCACAGAGGGGCACACTGAAGCCCAGAGAGGTTGCAGAAATTGCCCTAGTATGCACAGCTGTCTGAGACCCATGAGGGGCTGACAGACTTCAAACCATTGGCCAGTGTCCCCCAAACTTAGAGAGTCTTCTTCATCCTGGATTTTCAGGCCAGAAAGGACAGCCCTCTGAGCCAGCGAGGAGAAAGTCAGGAGAGCATCACCGTGAAGGCTGGGAGGCTCCCACAGCTGCCCACCTGGGGCCCCCACTGGGTCCCCTGTACCCCCAGGGTCCCTGCTCGAGTGGCCAAGCATAGTGCTGACCCATGCTTGGAGGTCATTTTTCTGGACATCACCAGCAGAGGGCAAGGCTGAGCCTACACACCCTGACTGTGGACCCTCCTGGCCTGGCCTGGGCTGTGACCAGGAGGGGATCCCTGGAGGGGCCTTGCTTTTCCCACTTCCAGGCCCCTGTCCCCAGGAAGCCTGACAAGAGGAGGACCGTATTGAGGCTGGGGGCCCTGTCCCAGAGGAGGGGAACGCCCCAGTTTCAGGTCAGGGCTGGTGCGCATAGTGAGCGGTAAAGTGGCTAGGAGGGCAAGAAGCGCAGGCGGCCGGGGTGCAGAGGAACAGAGAGGGGGCAGGAGGAGGCTTTTCGTTTGGCCTGCCATCTTTCCTTTGGACAGACCTCTCTCCAGTAAAGAAGGGGCATTCCGGGCCTGTGAGCTCATGTCTGGGGCCTTGCTGGGCTCTTCGCTGGGGCAGGGAGCTGTCTGTTCCCCACCTGCCAAGGAAGAGCTCACACTCCAAGACTGTGAGCCCCTTGGCCTCTGGCCCAGCGCAGTGCACTGTGGGCTAAAGAGGAAGGGCCAGCGAGGGTTGGGCCAGCATTCCAAGACACAGCTGCTCTCCAGGAGGACCCTGGACTGGCTTCAACTCTGGGCCCCTGGCCAGACTGAGTGGACAAGGGAGGCAGATGGGGTCTTCCCACAGCATGGGAGAGACAATGAGGGTAGGGAAGGAGAGGCTGGCAGGCTCGCCACCTCCACATCTGGCTGGGAAAGCCAGCGTTTTTCTCTCAGCCTGGCATAGGGGCCTGCGTTTACCTCGCAGGATCAGTGACACAGGTGTGACACTGATGGAGACCAGGGTAGCTTTCAGGACCTGGCAGGTTGTCACGATCGGGGGTGGAGGGGTAGAGTCTGGGCTCTGCAGGGAGTGAGCGGAAGCAAGAAACAGAAATGAGAGGCCGTGAGGCAGCCTGGGCCGAGGCTGTGTGATGTCCACCCCACCCCCACACTGCACTGTCTTCAGGACACAGCTGCCTGCGTAGAAGAAGCAAACCGAGTCAGGATAGAGGAGGGAGGGCAGAGGAAGGGCCCAGTGACTGTGAGCAAGGCAGGCCCCTTTCTGGGACCCCTCGTCTCTCTGGGGAGGAAGTGGTGTGTACCTAGCAGGCCATGTCAGACGGCTCTTGTAGGAATGACAAACATCCTGAGTTTGGGAACGACTTTGTCTGCATGTTCTCACCCCCACACCCGCCCAGGCCCACCAGAGCAAGCGGGGACCCTTCTGTCCCTCGCCCCCATGTTCTGCCCATGAGCTCCCTGGCAGCAGAAGGGCCAGGCTGCCTGCCACCTCAGCCCCTACTCTTCCTTGCCCAGGTCTTGAAGCTAGACAAGGGGCTCATAGCCTTGGACGCTGAAGGCCAGGAGCTCCTGCTGGAGCTGGAGAAGAACCAGTGAGTACCAGGTTGGGGAGGGGGCTGGGAGCCAAGATAGCCCCTCTGTCTCTGGGGGCGGGGACTGGTGGGAACCCAGGAGGGAGGCCGGAAGGGCTGAGGGCCCAGAGGAGGCTCAAGGCACAGGGAGAGTCACACCAGCCCACGATTCACTCCCCTGAGGCTAAAGTGGACTGTGGGGCTGGTCAGCCCTGCCGTGGGGCACCTCCCTCACACAGGCCCTGGGAGCATCTTGTCAGCTCCCTCCCGAAAGCGAGTGAGCATTACCTAATGGGTTCTCGAAAAGAAGCCTGAGTCAAAAGAGAATACAAGATAGGTTTCAAAGATGGGCTTACACCCCAAGCTAATGGAATGACAGGGACAAAGGTGCAGTGGGTACAACGATCAAGGCACATTCAGGGGACCTCAACTTGTCAGGCCTGCCCAGAGGGTCTCTATCTGCAGGGAAAGGAGCAACGGGACACAAATTTGGGGAGTCCCGGTGGGAACCAGATCACAGAAGGCCATTTTCGTGTTAAGTGTCAGGAATGGTGCAGAGCCAAAGATTTTGAGTTGATGAATGAGTAGGCAGAGCGAGGCTGGGTGGGTGTCCAGGATGGAGCATGGGGTCTTAAAACCATTCAGATTAAGTTAAGCAACAGGTAGTTATTTATCAAGTGCTTGTTTCATTGCAGGCACTGCTCTAAGCACTCTGCACCCATTTTAGTCTCCCCCACGGAATCAGGTGGACTAGGAACAAACGGGTTCCACCATGCCTAACCACTGTTCCTCTGGGGTTCGATGTCCTCATGTGTTAAGTGGACTGACCACATCACCTGCCCCCCTGGGGTTGTATGTGTGCATGGAGTGGGGAGCAAAGCTCGGGAAGGTGAAGGGAAGGCTGGGAGGCAGAGAAGCAGGCATCAGAGGTTTCTGGGGCAACCTGCAAGTACAGAGGTCAAGGTGAGGTGGGATTGAGATTTTCTTTAAAAGAGAGGGATCGACTAAATATTGAATCCTTGGTGGGAAGGATGTTAGTGAGATAGATGGGGCTCAAAGATGGAATCGTTACGGGGATGAGCATCACTGAAGGACAGTCAGAAAGATATGTGGGGTGTTCAGGCCAGAGGAGAAGATCTGAAGGACCCTTGAGGCTGGAAGGCAGATGAGAGAGGGTTGACCAGATGCCCAACAAGAGCAGGCGGCAGGAAGGGCCACCCAGGGAGTTCGGCCACACTTCCTTAGCTCCCAGTCCCACCTCTTCATCAGTTTCTCCTGAGTCCTCCCCAGCCCCAGGCCTGGGGATCCAGCTGCCTGCCACGGGCTCCACAGCGACCACGAACTCTCCCCCTATTGCTGCACCTCCCTGCTGCCTCCCACACACCCACTTCCCATATCTAAGCCATCACCAAGGCTCCTTCCTGCCCTTCACTTTTCTCCCTCTAGCTTACGGTTTTTCTGAGCTACGCAATACACATTCACTTCTGTCCCTTTCCTAAGATACACTTTGGGTGCTTCTTTAGTGTTAGCCCTGTGCCTCACTCAGAGAGCTGTCCAATTAGCATTCATGGAAAAAGGCTGGGGGGCATCCTGGAGGAGGCAAAGCTGAATTTGGTGATTCCCACAATATCCCTTCCAAGCAGGCTGCTGGCTGCAGGATACACAGAAACCCATTATAGGCCAGACGGGCAGCCAGTGGTGCTGGTCCCCAACCACACGGTGAGATACTTCCATGGGCACTGAGGACAGACTGAGGGACACTGGGGGATGCACTCCCTGAGGACCTCCCCATCCACTCCTACCCCATTCTTTTCCTGGTCCTAAGGAGAGGGAGCCAGGCCCCCACCACGCCTGCCCTCTTGCCCCTCCCACTTCAGTCCTGGCTGGGTCTGAGGCTGGGTCCCTTGCTCTCCAGGATCATTGTCACTACCATGGGCGTGTAAGGGGCTTCCCTGACTCCTGGGTAGTCCTCAGCATCTGCTCTGGGATGAGGTAAGGAGTTGTGGGGTGGGAGGGGGGCTGGGCCTGGGGCTGGGGCAAGAGTTCTCTCACACCGCCTTCTGCACCCTGTGCACCCTAGGGGCCTGATCACTCTCAGCAGCAATGCCAGCTATTATGTGTACCCTTGGCCAGCTGGGGGTGCGGAGGACGCCTCAACCCACAGGATCTTCTGGACAGAGCAGCTGCTTAGCTGGAAAGGGGCCTGTGGCCACGGGGATCCAATCAACCTTTCTCATGCCACCCGGATCAGGGTGAGGGCCACAGATGGGGTGGGAGCAGAAGTGCAGTATCCATAGCAACCCTCCAATCAGAGGAGATGGGACGTGTCCAGGGTGGTATGGCCGTGGGCCACAGCCCCCCCAATCAGAAAGACAGGAAGGCGTGGCTTCATTTCAGCATCTTCTGCCATGATGTTTTTATTTGGAGGCTGAAGAAACAAGTTCCAGCAACATTTTATTTTATTTATTTATTTGAAGATTTTGTTCATTTTTAGAGGAAGAGGAAGGGAGGGAGAAAAAGAGGGAGAGAAACATTAATGTGTGAGAGATACATCAACCAGTTGCCTCTCATAAGCCCCCAACTGGGGACCTGGCCCTCACCCAGGCATGTGCCCTGACGGGGAATTGAAACGGCGCTATTTTGGTTCACAGGCCAGGGCTCAAACCTCCGAGCCACACCAGCCAGTACTGGCAAAACTTTGAAGTTAACTTTGTGGTTTCTGGGGATTAGGGCTGGTGGTCAGAGTTTAAGCCCAGTGACCTGCCACCCAGGATTACAGATGCTTCTCCCCAGGCCAGGCGGCAGGCCCGCAGAAGCCTGAGGTACCTGGAGCTGTACGTCGTGGCTGACCACACCCTGGTGAGAGGAGGCTCTAGGGGGCTGTCAGGACTGAGCGTGGCCAGCTCAGCTGGTCACACCACCATATCGCTGCCTTTCCAGTTCTTGACCCAGCACCAGGACCTGAACCACACCAAACAGCGTCTTTTGGAGATCGCCAACTACGTGGACCAGGTTGAGTGGGGCTGTGCTTTGGCACAGAGGCTCAATGGGAGTGACAGCTGCAGCCTGGGCAAGTCCTAGACGGAGGAGGCAGGCTTGGAGATGAGAGAGGAGGTGGGGGAAAGAGAGGGGCCACCAGCAAGGTGGTATAGCCTGGTCCCCTGCTTCAGGCCCCTCTTGCCCTGACCACAGATTCTCAGGACTCTGGACATTCGGGTAGTGCTGACCGGCCTGGAAGTGTGGACTGAGCAGGACCAGAGTCGGGTCATGCCCGACGCAAACGCCACACTCTGGGCTTTTCTGCAGTGGCGCCGGGGGCTGTGGATGCAGCGGCCCCACGACTCCACGCAGCTGCTCACGTGGGTGTCTCCCATCCCCACGCGGGCTCCCCACTGGGCTTTACCCCCTCCCGGCATTGCCCGGTCACGCTGCACTCTGCCCTCAGGGGCCGCGCTTTCCGGGGGAACACCGTGGGCCTGGCGCCCCTCGAAGGCATGTGCCTTGCAGAGAGCTCTGGAGGCGTGAGCAGGGTGAGCTGTGCCCGGGACTGGACGGGAGGAGAGGTGCGGAGGCGGTCTTCTCAGCCAGCAGTGACCGTCCCCACGCCCTCCCAGGACCACTCGGAGCTCCCCATCGGCGCTGCAGCTACCATGGCCCACGAGATCGGCCACAGCCTTGGCCTCAGCCACGACCCCGAAGGCTGCTGCGTGGAGGCGGCCGCTGAGCCCGGTGGCTGCGTCATGGCAGCGGCCGCTGGGTACGGGCAACGTGGTGGCGGGGAGAGGGGCTGCTGGGGAGGCTCCACCAGACCTGGGGCCCTTCTCCGGCTGCGTTCCGCTGGGGGAATGCTTATCTGCTAGTTTTCTCTTCTGCAAAATGATCATAGTACCGGCCCTGAGTTGTTTAGGAGGCTTAAATGGAGGGAACACAAGGAAAACGGATTCCCAAGAGTACGAAGATTCTTCTCCGGAAAACCGAGCGAGGTCATCCCTACGGGACCGGCCGCGTTGGGTCCGGGCTCGACTTTTCAGCCGTGGGCTACCGGCGCCCGGGTCACACCCTCCGGCCTCGCGCTCGCTGTGGGACTTTGCCCGGGCTTCTTACCCACTCTGGGCTCTGCCTCTAGAGGATTAGAGCCGCCTTCACCCGGGCGTTGTCTGCGCATCCGCGGCTGCGTGGCCCTGCGCCGGTGGTCGTGGTGGGAGGGGGTCGGAGACCACCCGGGCGTTAAGGGGGTTGGTCCCCGCGCGCCTCAACGCCCTTCCCCGCCATAGGCACCCGTTCCCGCGCCTGTTCAGCGCTTGCAGCCGCCGCCAGCTGCGCGCTTTCTTCCGCAAGGGAGGCGGAGCCTGCCTCTCCAACGCGCCGGGCTCCGGGCTCCCGGTGCCGCGGGCGCGCTGCGGGAACGGTTTCGTGGAGGAGGGCGAGGAGTGCGACTGCGGCGCGGGCCAGGTTAGGTCCGCGCGCCCGCCCCCTCCCCCAGGGTCCCGGGAGCGACTGGCTCACCCGATCCCTTCTTGCCTTTTCGGCTCCAGGAGTGCCCCGACCCCTGCTGCTTCGCCCACAACTGCTCGCTGCGTGAGGGCGCCCAGTGCTCCCACGGGGACTGCTGCTCGAGCTGCCTGGTGAGGGGATGGGAGTCTGGAGCGTGAGGGGTGAGGGGCGCTGGGGAGCCGGCGTCCTCCGGTCCCCCGTTGGGTGCTGGCTCTGCTTCGAGCTTGGGCCCGCCGGGCTCTAGCCGGGCCGCCCCACCTCTGAGCCTTGCCGTCGGCGTGGATCTCTCACTGTCCATTGTCTCTCTGTGTCTCGGCCGCTATTCCTCCGCCCGCGTCACCTGCACAGCTGAAGCCGGCGGGCGCGCCGTGCCGTCGGGCTGCGGGGGACTGCGACCTCCCTGAGTTTTGCACGGGCGCCTCTCCCTACTGTCCCCCAGACGTTTACCTCCTGGACGGCTCGTCCTGCGCCAGCGGCCGCGGCTCCTGCCGGGACGGCGCGTGTCCCACGCTCGAGCAGCAGTGCCAGCAGCTCTGGGGGCCCGGTGAGAGACCCCGCGCACCCTTCGCACCCACCCGTTCCTGTCCTTGGGTCTGAGGAGTTTTCTACTCCAGGGAAGACGGACGGGGCCGGGGCGGAGGACCGAGGGCAGAGGAAGCTTGGTTTCCAGCCCCGCCCGTGCTTCCCCAGGCTCCCGCCCAGCACCAGAGGCCTGTTTCCACGGGCTGAACTCGGCAGAAGACGCCGGTGGCAACTGCGGCCCGGACGAAGAGGGCGGCTCTGCGCCTTGTGCGAAGAGGTGGGGAGGGAAGCGGAGGGAGCGAAGCCGAGGTATGGGCGGGGGGCCGGGACGCTGCACGCTGACCACCCCCCACCTGGTTCCCAGGGATGCGCAGTGTGGAAAGCTGCTGTGCCAGGGCGGGGAGCAGAGCCCACGGGCAGCACACGCGATGCCGGTGGACTCCACCATCCGCTTAGGCAGCCTCGAGGTGACCTGCAGGGGGGTCTTCCTGCGCCCTGGTGCCCAGCTGGACCTGCCGGACTTGGGCCTGGTAGAGCCTGGTACCCAGTGTGGACCTACAATGGTGAGCCCTGCCCACCCCGCCCCCTCCCTGCCACTTCTAGGGCCGGAGCGTCACTCCCCCACAAGGCTTAGCGCACACCACTGCCCGCAGGTGTGCCAGGACAGGCGCTGCCAGAACACGACATTTCAGGAGTTGCAGCGCTGCCTGACCGCCTGCCATGGCCATGGGGTGAGTGGTCTGAAAGGTGTGTGTGTGGGGGGGTGACCTTGAGGGCCCTGATGCCATGGGACCTGCCTTCTCTCTCTCTCTCTTCAGGTTTGCAACAGTAACCGTAACTGCCACTGCGATCCGGGTTGGGCCCCGCCCTCCTGCGACAAGCCGGGCCTGGGTGGGAGCACAGACAGCGGGCCCCTGCGGCCTGAAAGTGCGCACTCGGTGGGGAAGCAGGTGGGGACAGGCCGGGCAGCGCACCCACTCAGGACTCAGCCCCACCCTGGTTTTCGCAGACCCCTATGCATTCCTGCTGGCAGTGATCCTGAGCTTTCTGCTGCCTCTGCTTCCTGGGGCCGGCCTGGCCTGGTGCTGCTTCCGGCGGCAGCGGGGATCCCAGCTCCAGCAATGCCTCTGCGGCTCAAGGAGCAACAGTGGGTAGGTTCCGAGGGCTCAGCTTGCTGCTCCCTGGGCCCGCTCCTGTGGCTCCCGCTCCTCAGAGTTCTGCTGGGCCTGGGGCAGCTGGGATGGCCCCAGCTGGGCCTTGTTCCTGGGCACAGAGAGGCAGCAGAGAGAGTCGGAAGAAGCCTTGTGCAGAAGGCACCAGGGCCCAAGGGTGTCAGTCCACGTGGGGCTTTCTACCCCTCCCCATCGCTGTGGTTCAGTCCCTTTTGTCCATTCGCCTATTTCTGCCACCAGGGGTAGGGGGGGCTGCCTCATCGTCAACTTTGCCCTGTTTTCCACCAGCTCACAGTGCAGCTCCTGCCCCACTGCGCTCCTCTCAGTGTCTTTCTCATGAGCTTTGGACCCTTCGTCACATCCTCTGCCTAAATCTCTGCTGTTAATCTCCTTTGAGTTCCCAAATGCTGGGCCAGCACATCTTTTCACTCCATACCACTGGTCAGCTGCAGTGCCAAGGGCCCGCCCTAACCCAGCCCTTGGGTTGGCCCCAGCCTGGGAGAGGCTCCCATAACACCAACCAGTTGCTCCAGGACTGCCCCTTCAGTGGGTGCTGGGCAAAGCAGGCACCTTACAGCCACATCTGACACAGCCTGGCCTTGGGAGTGCTCAGGACAAGCTGAGGGAAAGGGCAGGGTTTGGGCCGGAGGTAGGGGCAGAGGGCATCTCTGACAGGGTGGGCACCGGCCAGGCCCTGGTGAGGCCTTGACACAGTGAGTGGTGACTGCAGGTCTGTGGGCAGAAGTGCAAGGTGCTCAGAGCTCGGCGTGTCGGCGTGAGGGGCCCTTCAGCAAGGCAGTGGCTGCATGTCATCGCCATGGTGGAGACTTGAGGACAGCCGAGACTGCTTTGAAGAGACATGGAAGGAAGTGGCAGGCCCTGGGAGATGGGGCATGAGCAGTGGAGCATGGGTTGGAGTCACTGAGGGCAGCAGGGCACCAGAAGCAAGGAGAACAGGCAGAGCTGGCCCTAGGGAGGAAGGCCACCCCTCTTTGGGACCTGAGCGATGTGGACACCTGTAAGGTGCCAGGATGCTGGGGTGGTGCTGGAGCTTGGTAGAAATGCCAGGGCAGTAGAGAGAAAGCGCCAGCAGCCCTGGGAGAGCCTGAGTCTGAACTCAGGCCTGGACCCCAAGGGCTTCTCCTAGGAGGGAGCAGGAAGTGAGCTGGAGGGAATGACCTGGAGAGAAGGGTGGAGACCCAGTCAACACTGAGGGCAGAGCAGAATGAAAACCTTGGGCTGGACATGTGCTCCCAGCTGCAGGGAAGCGGCCCGGGGTGGAGGGTGTGGGGCAGGGGGCGGTCCTGCTCAGCATCACTGCTCCAACCTCCTGGCCTCTTTATCTCACTGCTCAGGCCCAAAGATGACCTGCGCAGGCACCGCCCTCTGGGCAGTGTTCACCCCCTGGAATTGGGCCCCATGACCACTGGAGAGCCCCGACCCCTTGGTGAGTGAAGCGCAGGGGCAGATGGGAGGGAAGCGAAGGGATGGACTGCTGGACCCCCTCCTCTCCACCTAGCTCCCAGCCACCTTGAGTCCCTGTACCCTGCCCACCCCAGAGCCCACTGCCAGCTGCATTCACAGTGCTTGTTCTCTACCCATTGCTCCCAGACACTGAGATCTCTGCCAGAGCTCAACAGCCACCTTGAGAAACCTGTGCCCTGTGGCCCTATCGGCACCCCAAGGTAGGTGGGGACCCTGATGTGGGACCTCCACCACCCACTGCCACTCAGTTGCTCCTCAGCTCACTGTCCCCTACCCTGGGGTTCTGAGAAACGACCACACGGAGAAGCTGTTGTCATGGAGGCCTCTGGAGCAGGGGAGAGAGAAGTTGTGGCTCTTCCTGGGTCATCTGTCCTCACTGAGGTAGCACAGGGTGTCCCCGTCACATGACCTGCAGCCTCAGGTCTCAGTCCTCAGGGGAAGATCCTGCCCCCACTTAATTTATAGCAGGTCAAGTCCAGAAGCCAAGCTACTCTCTCTGGTGAGAGGTGAACACTGAGAGCCACTCCAGGCGCTTGGGCCACCAGGGGCAGAGCCAGCAAGTCGACTGACCTCCCTGCACCTTCAGGCAGCTTTGCAAGTTTCTTCCCTGAGTTACCTCCACCCTACCCACTCCAGGACCCCACTCTGGAGCCTCATCAGAATTTGCCCAACGCTGTCCCTGTTGGTTTGGGCCAGGGATCATGCAAGTCCAAGAATCCATCTCTCACGTAAAACTTCCAAGTCTGAGAGGCCAAAGAAAGCAGCTGGCAACTCCATCATAACCAGTTTATTAAGGGAACTTATATACAAGGCACATCTCGGGCAGCTGCAAGACCAAGTGGATTTCCATCACACCATGTGGCAGGTGCTAAAGGGTCATACAGGACGCAGCAGGATGGGTAGGGACACTGGGGTTTGACCCACCCCAGAGAAGGGGAAACTACCTTACATGCTGGCCCAGGGAAGCGTGAGGGCCTGTTCTGGGAACCAGCCTGCCTGGGGCGAATCAGGGGAGGGGTGACCAGTCTCTGGGGGTTTATTGGAAGCAAACTCTGTTCTGACCCAGAGGATCTGGCAGTGGTCAGGCAGCGGTCATGTCATGGAACAGTCTCTCCTTCGTGTCATCAGTCCAAGGAGCGGAGGTCACATAGTCACTGACATCCTGTCACCAGGAGAGGTGGGGTCACACTGGGCCCTGGGAGAGGCCTCTGTCTAAGACCCTGAGGGTGTGGGCTACACGCACTTCCCCGAGACTCAGCTCTGCAGAGCACGGTGACTGCTGGGCCGGAGCCAGGGTGCAGGAAACCCATATCACAAATTGAGTCCACTTCCCTGGTGCCTGGTCCCTGCAAAACACAGTCCTTGGGACCCTCCTTCCTCCCTCTTCCTGTCCTGTCTTGTCCCCCAGATGCTCCCTCAGCTCCTGCCCATTCTTAGTCCTGCACCTGAGGATTCGGAGGAGGGTAGGGTGTATGGCAGCCCCTCACTTCAAACATTACTGTGCCCTTCCTCCATTTCCTGGGAGGGGACAGAGGGAACCATTTTAGAAAGGGCACCAAAGGGCCTCTGTGAGTCTTTCTGTCTGGAAATTCAATGCCGTGGGGCTCCCTGAGGGGCGATGGCTGGTGGATGGAGCCTCAGATGGCAGTCAGGGCCCCAGACGGGCCTGGGCATAGAATGGTGCTGCCTTGCTTGAATGATTGCTTTGCCCCAGCTCACCTGTCTTTTGGGGCATTCTCAGAAGCCACTTTTTCTCTCCCCTTGCTTCAAGAGTTGCTGTGCGATTGTCTATATTGGTCAGCTGTTGCTGCATAACAATACTCCCCCCAAACTTAGCAGCTCAAAACAACAACCAATTCTGTGAATTGGCAGATTAGGCTGAACTCAGCTGGTGGTTCATTTGCTCTCAGCACAGCCCACTTACACGTTTGCTGTCAGCTGCTGGTCAGCCAGGCAGGTCTGCCTTGGGGGTGGCTGGGGGGCGGCTGGGGCGACGGGGAAGGATGTGCTGCGTGTCTCTCATTTTCCAGCAGGTTAGCGCAGCCTCGTTCACATGACAGCTGGGGAGGGTTCTGAGAGAGCAAGATTAGGATGAGGTACGTGTGCCAGCTTACCTTGGGCACACACAGAAAAATAATCAAGATAAGCAATCATCTGAAAATCAGTGCCAGAAATCTATGATGAACAAAACATCAAAATTTCCAGTAAAAACCAGATCAGTAACAGTGCCACGCCAAACCACGTGGGAGCCAGAGGCAAAAGGAAAAACCGAGGGGTCCTGAGGCCAGTTCCTCTCACACCTCGTCCTGCAAGAGACTGATTGGAAGCTTGCAAGGCCCCTTGAGATTTCACGACTAGCTCATGTTAACAACCATAATGCTTTATGGGCCCAAGCAAGTCACAGGGCCAGCCCAGATACTGGGGACTGGGAAAAAAACTCCACCTCTTAATGGGAGGGGTGGCAAAATCCTATTTCAGAGGGTGTGAAGAGTGGGGGTCTCTACAAGTGTCTGCTCCCTCCACTGGCAGCACAGAAGAGGGACCCCCCCACACCCTGCATCGTTCCGCCCTGCATGGCCCCAGGCTTGCTTTAGCTCCACTCCACCAGCCCAAGAGGCTGAAGGAAACTGTTTTCTAAAGCCCTTCCTGTGTTCTTTGTATCTGTGGGATTTTGATCTACAAAGAGGACCGAGTGCTGCTGTGGAGAGGTCAATGCCATCGAAAAGTTTTTAGCACATACAGTCCCCAAGAGGGGGCACACAGGGCCACATAGGAAGCACCAGGCTTGTGAGACTGAAGAGGAACTACCACGATTACAGGAAGCTGAGGCAGCGTGACCATGGGGTGCCATATGGGCTCCTGGAAAAACTGGAGAAATAAAAAATGCACCAATGAAGCCCTGGCTGGTGTAGCTCAGTGGATTGAGCACCGGCCTGCGAACCAGAGTATCGTGGTTTGATTCTGGGTTGCAGGCCAGTTCCCAGCAGGGGACACACAAGAGGCAACCACACATTGATATTTCTCTCCGTATCTCCTTCCTTTCCCCTCTAAAGATAAATAAATAAAATCTTTTAAAAAAATGCACCAATGTTCAAGTCCTAGTTTTAACAATTATACTATGGTTATGTAAGATGTTAGCATCTTACATAAGGGGGTGCTGGGTAAAAGGCATAAAGCAAATGCTAATATCTTTGCAACTTTTCTTCAAGTCTAACATTAGTTAACAATGAAAGTTTAAAAATTAAGTTGTCAAAGGAAAAGAACGGTGCTGTTTCACAAAGTTAACAGTTTGGCATGGGAGAGGCAAGGTCTGCTGGGGTGGTTCTGTAGGTGTTGCTGGGGTGAGGAGCGTGTGGTGGGGTCCACGTAGACAGTCAGGCTCTAGATTCAGTGGCTCCTGGATCTACCTGAAGGCACAGCTGGGGGTGGAGACTTAGTGGGGGCGGGGAGTCATGCAAATGATCCTCCCAGCGGTAACTGCAGGAGAGACTGTCAGCACAGGGTGTGGGTTTCCTCCACCAGCTCCAGCTCAGGCAGCGCTGGGAAGAAGGCACCTGTCTCACTGGGGTTCTGCCTGGTGCGGTCCTCTCCTCTGTTGCAGGCTGGCATGGCCCACTGCTTGGAGCCCACGATGCTGCTGCTGCTGCTATGGCTGTTTTTGAGTGAGTGGCCGTAGGACCCCTGAACCCTGGCTTATCTGTTCCAGATCCTCAGTGACAGAGTAAAGGGCAAGAGGGTGATTTCAGGAAAAGCTGGGAGGCAGGAAGTGACACCAGCGAGAGACCTGTGCTTGGGGTGCAGGGACACCTGGCCCCCTTCTCTGCAGCGCTGTACTGATCCTGCCTCCAGCTTCCAGGTCTGCAGAGCCCCCCCCCCATTCCCAAGTCCCACCCTGGTACCCCTGCCCCAGGAACTTTCCTTTTCCTATTTCCTCCCCTCTCCCACCTCTCTTACCCTTCCTCCAGCCCCAGCCCTCCACCCTGGAGTCTTGTACTGAGCTCCTGCCCTGCATCTTCAGTGTCTCCGTGCCATTCACCTGCTGTTTCCATCTGCTCAGACTGTCCCTTCCCCACTGGAAGCATCGCGGAGGGAAGGGTCATTTTACCGGGTGGGATGGGGAGAATGCAGTCAGGCAAAGGATTAAGGCTGAAGAGATCTTGGAGCTGACATGTGCTGTTTTGAGGGTGGAGATGAGGTAAGGCGATCCTGGTGGAGAAAGACAGGTAAGCAAATGAGCAGAGGTGGAACCAAGACCTTATGGGACAAACACTAGGCACTCCTGTGTGTGGCTGAGACCTGGGGACATGAGGGGCTTTGCTGGGAGAGGAAGGGAGGAGGGGAAAAGGGAGGGCTCACCCCTCTCCTGTGACCCTCTCCACTCACATACCCATTCCAAGTCCTTAGTGTCTGCCCGTCCTTCCTGTGGAGTGGTGGGCACGGAAGCCACCACAAGAATCACCATGGCCCCCCAAGGAGGTGCCCAGTGCCAGAGAGGGGCCCTGCTCCAAGCCCTGAGGCAGGGGACACCCCTCTACACACACACACACACACACACACACACACACACACACACACACAGTGAGAGGGGTGAGGCTGGCAACTGCCCTGCCAGAGGGCTTCTTGCCTAAGTGAGATGCTCCCGCAGGGACTGACAGTGTGAAGGGCAGGGGGAGGGAGCCTGGTTTGATGACCTAGGTAGCAGCGGCCAAGTCTCAACCGCTGGAGACCACTGCTTGGCCAGGTTTAGATGTGGCCCCTGGCACGTCTGCACAGAGCTCACCCTCTGGCTCTGTGGTGGCAGATGAACTCTGCCCCCAGCTCTGACCTGTGGCACAGGATAGAGCCCTGTGGCCTGCCATAAAGGGCTCCTCTCAGATCCATGCCCTAGCAGCTGGACCCTCCAGTGACCACAGCCCTTTCAAGAGACCCCCTGGCTGCTGAAGGGTGGCGGAACCAGGAGGAATCCAGAGTCCAGATGGAGCAGCATGAGTTAGATGGGCCAGAGGGAGCACCAGAGGGAATGGAGGGGAAAGACTCCAGGGGCAGCGGGCAGGAGGAGGTGGAGGAGCCAAGGAAGGAGAGAGAACTAGAAATCTATAAACCCATTTAAGGGTCAAGGAGGCGGGAGGAGGGGAAAGAAAGAAAGCTCAGCCTGCCAAAGAGAGAGGATGGGGAGTGTCCATTGTTTTCAAGGCCACGCCTGATGTCTTCATTAGGCCCCAGAAGCCTTGTTTCTCGAGTCAGGGGGAAATCTCGTGAAAATAGAGGAGACCGGAGGGCTCCTCTTTGGGTGCTTGTGGCCCTTCTGGGGAAGGGGTGCCTGGAGAGGTTGGGCCTCAGCCTCTAGGGGAGCCTCGGGACGCCCCATTCATCCCTGATGTGTTGCAGGAATCTCCAGAGCCCGCCGCCGCTCATCCACACGACGGAAGGCTGGTCAGTGCCAGTGGTTCATAGTTTCCGGCCACACTCCGTCCCCTTGGGTTTCGAGCGCGCCCCCATCTTAGGGGTGCGGAGCGGGGTTGAAGTGTGACTATGGGCCGAACAGAGAACCGCAGTCTGCCCGCCCTTCCGCCAGGGTCCCCGAGCTCGGAAGCACGGAACCGATGCGTGGTCGCGGCCGAGGCGTGTACCGCAGACGCGCGGTGTCAGCAGCTGCGCACCGAGTACGTGGCGCAGTGCCTGGGTAGGACCGCGTCCGGCGGCTGTCCCCGCGCCCGATGCCGCCGCGCCCTGCGCCGTTTCTTCGCCCACGGATCGCCCGCGCTCACCCACGCACTACTCTTTTGCCCGTGCTTTGATCCCGTGTGCGCCGAGCGCCGGCGCCAGACCTTCGTGCCCGCCTGCGCTTTTTCCGGGCCCGACCCAGTGCAGCCTTCCTGCCTCGGGTCCTTGGCGGCCTGCGAGCACAGCACGGTGTGCAGGTGCGGCCGAGGGCCGGCCGAGGGGGTGGGGCCGGCCGAGGGGGTGGGGCTGGCCAGGTTGGGCGGGGCCACCCGTCCGCAAATCGCTGTTCTGCCGCACCGCGCAGGCCCCGCCTCCTGGCCTTCCGGGCCTCCTGCGCACCGGTCCCCAGCGTCTCCGACGGATGCCCACCAGGTCAGGGCTCCCACTGCCTGCGCGCCTACGCCGGCCTCGTTGGTACGCACAGCGGGAGTCCGAGAGCGGGCGGGGCTCTCCCGGGCTTCCCCCACCTGGGTGGACCCGTTACCGGCTCTCCGGGTTCCCGCAGGCACCATAGTCACCCCCAACTACGTGGACAACAGGAGCGCGCGCGTGGCGCCCTGGTGCAACTGTGGAGCCAGCGGAAACCGGCGGGAAGAGTGCGAAGCTTTCCGGGAGCTCTTTACTAAGAACCACTGCTTGGGTGAGGGGCCGGGGCCAGGAGACTCTAGGGTACAACGGTTGGCTCTTACTGCCCTCTACCAAGCCGCCTGGCAGGCGGAAGTCTATTGTAGAGGTGAGGAAAGTGAGGCTTTTTGTGGCCGCCAAGTAGCCCCGCTTCGTCCTCTGCTGTTGTCCTGTCCCTGTGGGAATCTGTGCTCAGCTGTCTCTGGAGAGCAGGTGTCAGACCAAAATGGGCTCCTAGGGGTGTGTGGGCTGGTGCCCCTGTGGGCAGGAGAGGACCTGCAATGGAACTAGTTGAGATCCCTGCTTCTGCCACTTCTGAGGCAGTTCCATCCTCCTCCCCTAGGCACTGCCAGCTCCTATCATTGATGATCTTGCCTTCCGGGTCTGAAGAGCTTGGTGGTTCCCTGCCCAATATGGGAGTTAGGGGAGCTGAGTTTGAAGGCCTTCTCTAAGCCGTTTTGTGTCCATCCCTAGAATGGGAATGATAATTGTCGCCCTCCCCAAGGTTTGTAAGGAGCTCAGTAGCACAGTTGTTCTTACTTTGTTATTTCTCACCCTGCACCTTCCATTCCGGAAGCCAGTCCTTGCAGACATTCTATCTTCCCATCCATTCGTGGGGAGAGGCCACACAGGATGCCGAGGGTCTCTCATTTGTCCCCCAGGAGCTGGCTCCTGTGCTAGGGTTTCCAGGCTAAGCCCACCCCGGACCTTTCCCTCTATAGATGGTGCCATACAAGCCTTTGACAGCAGGCGGCCCCCAGTCATGCAGGACCATCAAGACCCCCGCCAAGACCTGGAGCACAGCCTCCTGGAGGTAGGTGCAGGTAGGGGTTGGTGAGCTGGCATCCCCTGCACTGCTTCTTCCATCCTTCCATGCCGGTGGGGCCTACGTGGACATGAGTGGCCTGGGACGGGGTGGATGCAGAGAGCAGGGCCAAGCTTCTGCCTCAAGCCCGCACTTCTGCTTCCACCCCAAGGTGTCCTCGGCAGTTGGGCCCCTAAAGGGGTGTTTTCTGCTCTCCATGTTCCCTGTGCTGGCCTTCCAGCCTCTGCTCTGATTAGGACAGAAGACCTTGGACAGCACGGCCAGCTCTCCCATCCTGCCTGGAGTACATGGCCACCTTTGTGGCCTACTGCCCCAGTGAAAAGGGACTGGTTGACCTCTCAAGTTGGCCCCAGTGCTCTTGACCTTTGCAGGTCTGGACACCCTGTGTGCCTGTTCCCTGGAATGAGGTGTATAGGCCGTAGGACTGATTGCGAAGCCATGGTTTTCATTTCGGTAGGTTTCTTGGTTGTAGATCTCTTTCTCCACAGACCCTGGAACAGTTGGGGGTCTCCCACAGGATAGGCATGGGAGGGGGTCACCTGTGTAGCTGAGACCTCACCGGGGCTTCAGATAACCTAGAGAAGGTCAGAGACCATCCGGACTCCCAGAATTATAAATTTTATCAGCCCCTCAAACAGATCACGCCTTAAGGAGTACATCTGAACAAACTTGTAGGCAAAACCCCCTCGAACACCACAGCCTTTCATGGTACCCTCCCAGTTAGGCAGCACCCATAATGATAATCACCTGTGCCCGTGACAAGTGTTGGCAGAGTGCTTCCCATCCAAGATATGTTGCTTGGTGGGTACCACCTAGAGTAGGTGAGAATTCAGTCCCCTGAATTGCACTGGCCATATGGCCACCTTCCCCGTAGTTTAACCCAGCACTAGGAATGGCCTCCACAGCTCAATAAATCAATGTACACTGGCACTGGCTTTGCTTTCATGTGATCTGTGTCTCCCTGGGACCCATGGTTAGCCACAGGGTGTTTTTGTTGGTTTGTGTGACTTCAGATGGTCTCAGAACCTTTCTTAGCTTTGTCTCCTCACCTACAGATGCCACACTGAATAAATGATCAGGTCCTAGTGGTAGGGATTTGGGTTGCTTTTGTCTATTTTTTTCTTCTCTGCTAGTACCCAGATAAAGAAACTATATTTCCCAGACTCCCTTGCAGCTAGGGTGGTCCTATGACACAGTTCTGGCCAATGAATGAGTGGCATTCACAGATGAAGCTTCCAGGAGAGCTCTTTAAACAGAAATAGACTTGCTGACTGACCCCTTCAGCCTTTGGCCTCAACCTTCCCCACTTCTTGCCCGGGGACATGGGGACATGGGCACCATCTCGAAAATTGAGTCATTGCACCAGCTCCAGTCTGCTTCCCTCTGGACGCTTCATTGTGTAGAAAAATGACACCTCTAATTTGTTTAAGGCAATTTCTCTCTAGGTGTCTGTTACTTGCAGCCAAAAATGGCCCTGATTGATGTACTCCCACCTCTGGGGTGGGTCCCAGGGTCGCCTGCTGTACTCACTTAGAGGAGCCTCATCTCATTGCCCACAGAGCCCGGCTCTGACGGGCACTTCAAAGAAAAGGTGACAGGAGTTTGTTTTTGTTCCCACATATTCTGCCTGCTTCACTCCATGTGGAGAGTCGCATTCTTCCCTGAAGCTGAAGGAAATTTATCGTAAAGGTTTTTGTGAGCATTCCGTGTGTGCGTCCAGTGTGGACCCACAGAATGCAAAGGGCATCGTGTTAAATTTCCATTCTGCAAAGGGGTTTGGGGAGAAGAGGGCAAAATAATGGGGCCTGGGTACCAAGCCTCTGTCCACTTCCTTCTTCCTCAAAATCTTGGAGACTTCTGAAGGGTGAAGGGATCCCATGCTGGTTGAGGTTTGTCAGGGGCTATGGAAGCTGTTGGTACCTTGCTCATAGACTGCTGTGGCCAATGCAACCCATCCCCATGCCTCTGGGAATGCTGGCTGCAAACACAGCTTAGAAGAAATGCCTGTGAGGTTACGCTCTGCTCCCTGACTGAGACTCAGGTACCACAGCCTATCCTGCTTGCCTCAGGGGGGGTGATCCTGTGTGCCAGTCTTGCTCCAGAGCTTCATGGCTGATCCCAGCTGAGACCGCATCCTAGCTTGGCTCCCTCCCCTGCCCACTTCTGACTCCTTCACTTAGGAGGTTCCTGTGAGGGTAATCCCTCCAATAAATTAGGGCTTGAGAACCCTTGTCTTGGGCTCAGTTTCTGGAGAACCTGACCTAAGACGTGAGTTAGGTATAGCCCACACCAAAGCCCAGGCCTGGGGGCTGTCCTGACCAGAAAAAGAGCTTCCAGGTCTGAGACTGTGTACTTAGCAACTCACACAAAACCCACAGACACCCTGCGAGGCAGCTGTGAACCAGCCTCCCAGCTTCAGCCAGTACTGTCCTGAGTGAACCAATCAGAAATCCAGCCGGCCTGGGCACGTGACTCAGCCATCCAAGCTTCAGGCACAGCTCTCTAGGATTCAGATGATGTCCCTGCTGGTTTGTGCACAGCTTCCCTCTGCAGCCAGGCAGGCTGTCACCACAGGGTGGGTAAGAATGCCTCCAGCAGCCCTTGGTCTATGATCGTTCCTTGTAGCATTTGTGGCATTCGTGGACTGTCCCAGGCCACACTCTGTTGGTCCCAGCATGGGTCATAAGCCTTTTCCCAGTGGCCTGGGGAGTGACATCAGCCCATCAAGGTCACATGAAATGGGAAGGCAGTTTTCCAGTGGAAAAAAGGAGGAGTATTGGGCAAAGTGCGAGTCCAACCTGTTCTCAACTTATGAAGGAGAAGGAGTGTTCTCCACCACCTACACGTGCATGGGAGTGGACACCTGTAGGTGGGCTGGGGAGACATGGTGTGTGTGTATGTGGGGGGGAACTGGGGGCAGGACGGGCAAGTGAAAGCATCACCTTGCCCTGCTCACTATGATTGATTGCATGGTGGCCCAAATACGGAATTAAATATCTGCTAAATAATTTGCTTTATGTGAGAGTGTGTTAAACTCTCTTACTCCCTGTTTTACTCAGATAAATGGAGTAAAATATAGGCATATACCTTTTGAACGTTTGGAAAGATAAAAGTGAGCAGAACCAAGCTAGAAATCGCACTGCTGTTCCCTGGCAGCTGTCTGCCTTCAGTCCATCTCTCCAAGCGGACTCACTGGTGTTTAACCAGACTGAGCCTCTTTAACATCCGTGTGTGGTGGCCAAGGGGCTCCCTCCCTGGGTGCAGGGAGAAAATGGAAGGTCCCAGGACCCCGTTGCCTGACTCTCTGTTGTTCCCCAGAGTGGACATTTAGTGTGGGGGGCCGGAGGCTGTCTGGGGCATCGACGCAGCCGGCTCTGCAGAGAGAAGCCAAGAGGGACGACGTGTTTTGGTCTGTAAAAACCACTGTCTTGCCACTCCTGGGCCAGTCGACTTTCTGAGGGTTTTGCTGCTGTGGAGGGCTGATGGTGGCCCCAAAGCTATGTCCACATCCTAAGCCATGGAGCCTGTGGATGTTACCTTGTATGTAGGCAAAGGAGTATCACCCAGTATAGCAAAAGATGTGCTTAAATTAAGGGTCTTGAGGGGAGGTGCTTATACTGGATTATCTGAAGGGACCATGAACTTGGTCACAGGAATCGTTACGTGAGAAAGGCAGAGAGAGGCAAGACCCAGGAAGAGACGAGAGTGAGGCAGGGACAAGCCGGGATCGCGGGCAGCCACCAGCAGCTGGAAGAGGCCAGGAATGAATTCTACTCCAGGGCCTCTGGAGGGGCCACAGCCTGGCCACACTGTGATGCCGGCTTCTGGCCTCTGGAACTGTGAGAGGACATTTCTGTTGTTTAAAGCCAACAGGGTTGGGTAACTTGTCCCAGCAGCCCCAGGAAACTCATGGAGTTGTCTAAGGTTGTCGGAGTTTGGTTTCTGTCACTTCTGCCTCAGAAGGTTCTGGCTCACATGTGGTTTTTAAATCTGGCCAGACTCCTCAAGGCTGAGTCCAGCCGTGGCCCCCACGACCAGGAAGAGGTCCTGCCTAGCTCGTCCACACCTGAGTGTCCTACCAGGTAGCCTGGCTGCTGTCGCCCTCTCGCCTGCACTCAGGAAGACTGTGGTCATGGCACTGACCTCATCCCTGTGACTGGGTCTCTGTTAGCTGCGGTCAACATTGAGCCTCTAGCTGGCAGGTGGCTGGGGGCTGGGAGTGAGGCAGGAAGGCAGGTGCTGGAAGCTTCTGTTGATTTATTGGTGGAAACTTCACGGTTCATGAATGCCCACTGTGGCTTGGAGGCTGCTAAGGTACAAGGTCGGCATGGAAACTGCTCATTGCCCACTGCTTCTTTCCCCCTCCCTCACTGACCAGGTGGTGCCAATTTCACAGAACCATCTCATTCTTTTTTAAAGATTTTATTTATTTAATTTTAGGAGTGAAGCGAGAGAGAAACATTTGTGTACGAGAGATACATTGATTGGTTGCTTCTTGTGTGCCCCCAACTGGGGACCTGGCCTGCAACCCAGGCATGTGCCCTGACTGGGAATTGAACCAGTGACCTTTTGGTTCACAGGCTGGCACTCAATCCACGGAGCCACACCAGCCAGGACAGAACCAGCTCATTTTTACCAAAAGTGTGGATATTGCCAGTAAAATTCCCAGAGAAGCAGAAGGACAGGGGCTCTGCAGAGCTTCAGGAGACATCCCCCAGCTGGACAGAAACTGGCTAGTGAGTCTGGCACGCATGTGAAAGGAGGCAGAGACAGGACCCTGCCTCTGTGCTGCAGGGCTGGGGAGGCCTGAGCTGGAGGATTTCTCAGGAAGCTGTTCTGCCAGGGACATATCACCCCACACCCAAAGGAGCCTCCAGTCCAGGGCAGAAGATGCAGGGAGGAAAATTAGGATGAGGACACACACAGGAGAAGAAAACACATAAACCTCACACCCTGAGCCCTCAAGAGACCAGGGTGGGGCAAACGAGGAAGAAAGGCCCCCAGGGCGTGTGGGTGGGCCTGACCCCTGCAGCCTGAGGGGAAAGCGTCACACAGTCAGTGGGGTCGCCTGGTCTGGTCCCTTGAGTTGGCAACACAGGATGGAAGGGAATTCTTGCCAGGCATGTCACACAGCCAGTAACGCAGGGCTGCCGAGCGTGTCTGCTCAGACACAACCCACACAGGTGTGCAGGGCAGGGGACTCAGTCGCCAGGAATGACGCTGCTGCTGGTGACTGAGTTTCCCAAAACGATGACCAGGTCTTGGTAAAGGTATGAAGAAAACGAAGTTCAGTCGCCCCTCGAATTACGCAACAGTACAATTTCTGGAAAACTGATTGTATGTTGAACCAGCTCTCACATACTGAGTTTGTAATTGGGTTCTACACTAAAATATTCAGAAACATTTTCTCACATACACAAATATCCAGCAAAACACTTGAGAATCGAGTGGGATGTGGGTCAATTCCTTGTCCGGTGGGACAGTCCCGTGTGTCACAGGACGACCACCGTCAGGCCCTTCCTCTTCAACGCAGTAGTTGAAATTGCCTCCACCTATTTCCAAAATGTCCCCTAGGGGGCAGCCCTGTGCCGGCTGAAAACTGTTGTCCCGGGGCACCTGCCTGCCCCAGCTCCTACCAGTGCTGTTGCAGCCCACTTTGCTTTTGCCCACTGGCACGCTGCCACCTCTGGCCCTCCCCACCAGCTCCGTCCTTTTTCAGCTCTGCTCCCGTGTCACATCGGAACGGTCCCTTCTCAGCACCACCATGTAAAGCAGCAATCCGCCCCAGCACTTTCTACCTCCAACCCTATTTTTAGCCGTGAAACCCCTGGTCCCCACATAATGCCTGGCCGGGCAGGACACCCTCACGACCCGGCTGTTTGCTGAGCCAGGCAGACACAGCAAACTGGTCCAGAGCGATTTCACTGTTGACCATGCAATTTCCTTTTTGAAAAATGATAGTTTTTCCGTTTATCAAAATTCATTAAAGAACTCCCTGAATTATTAAATCTTCATTCTTCAAGAATTATTGTATCTTAAACCCAGGGCTCTCACGCACTCCCCATGGGCCTCAGTTAGGCGTTTGCAGTGTTCTCCTTTCTCCACGATGCACGCACCGCCTCCGGGCAGGCGCGGCAGGGTTTCCTCGGCTGCTTCTCCTGCGTCTCAGGGCAGGGCTTGCAGCCCCAGACTGGGCATCTTGCAGCCTGAAAGCGGCAACTAGTAACAGGCGCCAACTCTTCCAGCCTCTAGAGCAATTTTCAAGTCCTGCCAGGCCTTGGTGGGGGCAGTTCCCGACCAGGCCCGCATCTGCCCTGTGGGCCCCATCCGAGGTGGCCTTGGGCTGTGCTCCCCTCAGACCCAGCTTCCACAGCCGGCTGCTGCCCACAGGTGCTTCTGATTAAGCTTCCTCAATAGTCAGGGTTTTTTTCCTTCATTTTTAAGTTAGTCTAACGGTTTCTCTGGCAACACAATTCCCTCAGAAACCTGGGCTTTTCCTTTTCCGGTGCAGGTCCAGTGCCAGTGATGACATTCCTGGTTCTTCCCGGGACACGCTTCCGAAGTTGGCTTTGTTCCTTTGCTCCCTCAGGACGATGGCCTTGAAGTTACGAGGTTCCAGAGGAAAGGACACATTCTGCCCCTGATTCTCACCTGGAAGCAGAATCCCTGAATGTTGCCGGCTCTTTGTTGCTCACAGGGATGGCTTACTGTATGGAGACCAGAAGCAAGACTCGTTGGCTTTTCTGACTCTAAGACTCTGGATTTCAGAATCCTCCGCTGCCTTCCCTTCTCCTTTGTAAACTAATTCAGGAACTCAACTCTTTCTTGGGATACCTTTCCAAAAGCAGTCACAACCAACACATACCACATTTTGTTTTTTCCAGCTTTTCCCCCTCGAACTAAAAAAGGCATACAGAGGACATGCAGATTGCTTTCCAAGTTACCAGATGGTTTGCCACTGCCTGAGGGGGTCCCCAGCTGTTCTGCCTGCTGTGTCTGCCTGCCACCTGGCCCCTAACTAAGACGATGTCACGTGTTTGAGGTTTTGGTCGCAGTTGCCTTCCACCTCAAGGTACCAATTTGTGCATTAGTGAGAAAAGCTGTAAAAAGTGATCAAGTCTCAAATCTCGGTGGGTCAGTGGAGCAGAAGTGTGCTTTTCAGGGATGCAAATACCAGCACATCACCCTTGCTGCCCAGGTGGCCTCCCCCCACACCTTCAGACCCCGATCCCCTGGGGAACCCCGAGTGGGAGCACACTACGTGCCAAGTTTGGAACTTGCAGATATCACTTCTTTGGCCACAGATGTTTATGGCACCAACCTAACTACACAAGGGCTGGGAGCTGCTGTTGACCTGGGCATCCAAAGGCAAAAGCACAGGTTTGGTAAGCACACAGCAGTCTCTGCCTCACCACTACGGAAACACAGGTTTTCACCCTGCCAGGAGCGCTCGAGAGCCCCAGAGCCCTCCACAGGCGCTTCAACGACCACCCCAACCTTGCAGCAGTCACCAGTCCAACAGCTTTCCTCCGAGCCCAGGTCCAAGCTTTGGTGGCACTTCCACCCCATCTCCCAGACCCCCTGGAGCCTTGCACCCTCCCCTGTATGAACCACTGTCCTTCCTTGTGCTTTCTCTGATGTTCTCAATTCTCACGATGCTTCTCACCCTTCCAGGCTTTTCGCACTTCGCACCGGGGCAACTGGAATGTTCTGAGCCCAGAGGAGCTGCATGAAGTGGGGCTAGGCAGGCAGAAGGCCCACGGACAAGACAGTGTGAATGGACGTGTATTGATAATAACTTCTTCAAAAACTCAAGACTGATGGCAGTGCTGAGGCCAGGGGACAGGAGGTAGGTTCCTGTCCCTACCAGTGCTCCTGAGAGTGAGCAGTTCCAGAAACCCCGAGACGTTCAGGAGCCCGTGAGGAGGACAAATGCTGAAGGACCAAGGGCACACAGGTGCAGTGGGGACATTAGGAGGTCCCCCCACAGGTGCCCAGGGTGCCCGCCCTGTTGGTTCAACACCTTCACCTTCAACTGCCAAGTGCTTCCTCTGAGGGAGTCTGAGATTCGGGAACCGTTCTGAACTTTTTTCCCCCTTAAGGCTCCAATGACCAAGTTGTAAAAGGTAAAACAAAAAAGTCAAAATCAAAGACTCAGAAAAAAACCCCATGTTTTTACCAGATCTACTTTTATTTTAGAAGGAAGTTTGTAGTATAGGATTAGTTTTGATTATGTACAGGTTCTTCACATTTGTGTTTAAAATGCACAGACCTCCCTTATTTCTCTTGTTCCTGCTTAAATTAGCTGTTATTTTACAATACAAAAAATACCAAAAATTGCAGTCCTAAATGTATGTATAACACCCACAATCCCCAGCAATGAAATAGTTTACAATACTTACTCCATATTTACATGAGTGCAATAGATGCTAAATTATACATATTAACAAACTAAGCTTGAATCCAAACAAAAAAACCGTAAATCACTACAGAACAAAACATTTCCAGAGCCAGAATTAGTTCAATGAAACAGGCTTCACTAGTGTTTAGAATGTTTTGTGCACAAATTCAGTTACCAGAAGTCGATTCCATTATTGCCACTAAAAGAGAAGGCGCCAGTTTTCTTCTCTCCCGATCATTTCCCTGCAGGCGGGGGTGTTCAGGACTCGGGAAACGTCTCCTGGGGGGCCACCTACAAACCATCACCGTGAGGTCTGAGGCCGAGTTTGGTACACTGGGTAAACACTTCAGACAGAGCGGGTGGGTGGCCCAAGGACAGACCCTCTGCCTTCCTGGGTCTGAGCTCAGACAGCCAGTTCTCACAGAAACCACATGGAAAAGGTCTCCTGGGACGGTGGGTCTGGCAGCTGGATTCTGTCCTAATCCTGGAGCTGCTCTTTCACGCAGGTCACTGCCCCAGAGTGAGCTCAGGCTGTCTGTGGTAAGTGCTCTGGAAGCATCGGCTGGATGGGTGGATGGATGGCACTGAAGCGTCGAAGGTGCTCCTGGCGAGGGCACGGCCACCCAGGGAAGCGAATCACTCCTGCTCCTTCCCCTCGCACACGCTGTGAAGGGGAAGGAGTAAGACCAGCACCGAAAGGTAAAATGTCTCTTTCTGGTAGTGCTCTGGTCTTTTCACTTGCCCCAGACTTTCTGCTGTGTTTCCAATCTTGCACCACAGGCCTCACCCACACATCTTCTCATGTTTTCCTTTTGCTGCCCAACCTCCGGGGTAGCTCAGGGGAGTATGAGCTGCCTCCCCTCCGTGCCTCTCCCTGCCTTTTGGAGGTGATGCCCAGAGGCAGGCACAGGCTTCCCCTACACTGTGTGTGGAGAGGAGGGCAGGGGAGGCCAGGGTGTGCGTGGTTCGCCATGGGGAAACCGGGAGCTGTGTATCAGCAACTAGCCACACCACTCCCATTGCCAGTTTCCGGTATAGTAAACTATGGTCCTCAGAATTGATCATTAAAAATGTAGATAAAACCACAACAAAGTGCAGCCTGAAACCCCCTTTTTGGGAAATCTGATTTCTGCAGGTATAGTCTTTGAACTTACAGACCTCAAGCAACGTTTCTCAGGACGAGCCCGGCTGTCCCTGGCCACGCCCCAGCACCCGGAGGCAGGGAGGCTCACAGGGCACCCACGCCCGAGACAGACCCCCACCACTGCCCGAGTTTCCTCTCGCACTGCCACCACAGGGGCTGGCTGCCAGTCTCCACTGGTGACTCGAGTTGGCCAGTCGGCGCCAGACGCATCTGAACACACCGGTGTGATGGGAGTGCCCTTGGCTTTGTTCTCTGTGTTTTGGGGCTGCTCGGAAGACTTCTCTGAACCTGGATACCCAGTATATGGCACAAAGACACATGGGGTGAAACTCAGACACCATAACATTTAATAAAAATACACTGAGATAGGTTCCTGTTTTATGTACACTCCGAATGTCTGAACACTCTGATGCTGCTGCAGAGCTATGTACAAGTGCAACATCGATGTTGTCGGGCCCGCCCTAACCACGTCCAGGGCTCTCCCGTGGCAGGCGGGCACCACCTTGGTCCTGGTGACGCCCTCCCGGTAACTGGCTCCAAGCTGAGCGCCCTTCTTCCGGCCCGAGCCTCGAGGAAGCGGTTTGCTACGGGCGGCAGAGGAGAAGCAGGTGGAATCAGCTGTTCTTCACTGTTGGAGCAGAATTACACTTCACCGGTTCCTTCCTTCGGTTCTAAAATGGAACATTCTCTTTTAGGAAACAGTAAATAAAAGATGACCAGTGGCTGTGGGACTCGGTGCATGTTATTTCAAGGCATGGGACCGGGTGGCTGTGGGACAACTGTGGGGAGGAGACTGCTCTGGTCAAGGGCACGCTGGCTCCTTAGAACAAGGGAGGATTCCCTGTGCAAGGAGCCTCTCCTGTGCCTCCCCCTTGGCCAACAGGCCTCATGGTGATCACAGAGGGGAAGGGCCAGTCCACGGCAGGTTCTCTGTGGCTGCCGGGACCTGGAGTAGGGATGTGGGAAGCTTCGAGAGGTCTTTTCTAGGACCATCTGCTCTTCAACAGTGACGTGAAAACACAGCTTTCTGAGAGAAGAGTCTCAAAGTAGAGGTGTTCTGTGTACCAGACAGTATCTTATGGTTCAGCTTCTTTGAAAACATCTTTCCAGGCAACTCTTCATGGGAGTGAGGTTGGTACCTGGGAAGAGACAATACTCCCTCTCCAGGCACTGCACCTAGGAGGTGAAATGCTGCAGTTTTTGCTCTTTTCAGTATTAATGTCTCCAAATTCACAAACTCGAGCATTGTTGTCTAGAGGTCCATCCCCAGGTTTAGAAGCACAAGAGAGGTCCTGGGAGGCACCGCGTGGTGCCAGGGGACAGCGCCAGGGGCGGGACAGCATGATGCCCGGCGGCGCCCTGGCAGGAAGGCAGAGGCTGCCCCACCCTGCCTGGTCACTTTCCCTGTGGCAGAGTTCTCCCTCCTGGTCCATGTTCCCATGTGCTTTTCACCCTCTTAGTGTTCACTGCCCTCCCCATGGCCAGCAGCCGAGTCTGCTGGGGAGGAATGAAGAGCCCAGGCCCTCCCGGGGAGAGAGGGCGAATAGCTCCAGGTCCTTCTCCAGGCTCTGGGCAGGTTCTGCCAACAACGGCGGGAGCTGCCCCTCTCCTGGCGTGTGATTCCACTCGCAGCCCGTGGCGGCCCCCAGCCCACGGTAGGCTGCAGGCAGAGTCGCACTGCCCCGGCAGCAGGCAGCCAGGAAGGCTGGAAAGCAGACGTCAGGCCTGGAGCCGCCCGGGGGCACGGGGACTCCTGGGGATCACGCTTACTCAGTGTCCTTTTTGACAACAATACGAACAGGAGCTTTTACAGTTGGGTCATTTCTGCTTTCCTTTCAGTCCTTGCTGCTGGGATAAAGGTTTCTTGGGGTGAGAATTCTTTCCTGGCTGCAAAGTACATTTTAGAAAAAAAAGCAGATTGCCAATGGAAGCTATTTAAATTTTATAAGAATGTAGGAATGTAATTATGAAAGAATTAGGAAGTAAAAACTGAGGCTTACTAACTTTCCAATTGCTAGATCTATTTAAAGTCTAGGCACTTAGTGTTATGTGTGTGTGTGTGTATGTGAGAGAGAGAGGAATTTCGAACAGACTTATTAGACTAAATTAATCAAGTTGCTCTAGAAAACTACCTATTACACCAGTTTACGTTCTAAGCATCACTGCCGACCTTGACATTTAAAATAGCCCCCTTCTATCTGAGTTTAATATGATTCAAAAGAGATGGACCGTTATTAGTTCTCAACTAGAAAAAGCTACTTCTTGGAAGAGAGGTATCTGCCTAAAACGTGCAAGAACAAGCAGCACATCTTTTTTCAAAGACAGCAGGCTTCAGATGAAAACAAGTTCATTCATCTGACTCGTCTGGAAAAGCCCGAGTCCCCGAGTGACTGATGACGCACGTCTACTCGTAAACACCATGTCCTTGTTTTTTGCGCAGTTGAGACAGTCCCAAGACCAGTCTCCCACAAGTAAACCTGAGTGTCGTTCCCAGCTCTCTCATGGGCTCCACTAAGGCCTACTCCAGCAACATGAGGATCACTCCGGACATGTGGTTAAGTCAGTCATTTCCTATGCAAAAACAAAAGGTCAGGTGCTGGAGCACAGATGGAGAAACTGTCAAAGAAAGCTTGTGAACATGCAGATGAGTCGGATGTTTCCAGTCGGAGGGTTTCCAGTTTCCGGCCCTGCTCCGCTCTGCAGAGCATCTCCTGCCTGCCTGCCCCTCCCTGCAGACGGCTCTGGCACGCCACGCCTCGCCACGCTTGGCTCACTCACGAAGAGTCCCCGGCCCCAGCATCAGATACAGGTCCCAGGCTGCGCAGGTGGTTGCTGCTTCCGGTTTCTCACGGCTCCTGACTTCTCCTTGTACACAATTGGCATCTGCTGAGAAATGTCCACCAGGGCGCTGGCTACTGCGAGACCTTGGGGGAACCCACGGAGGGAACACGTGTTAAGGAGCAGCTTGCTTTTATGTTTGCAGATAATTAAAAAATTTCTGTCTACATTCCCCTGGTGCAATAAATAAAGCAATAAAGTGTGTAGGGAAGTCTTACTGCCACCCTGCCCTCCCTCCACCTTTCCCCTCTCCAGCTGAGAAATGGCTTTCATTAGTTCGCATGCATTCTTTCAGGGTGTCACTATGCAAACACAAACACGCAGTCCTTGCCTTTCTCCACCATTTATTTACACAAAAGGTGTGGCTTGCTTTTCAGCAGATGGGTCAAGCCAGAGCTCTGCCTGCTGCTGGGAGCATTCGAATATGACTGCAGACACACTAAGCACTACACTCTTCCTGCCTGCCTCCAAAAGGATGCCAAGAAAAAGCAGCGTGGTTTACAGTGAAACTCAGATTCACTCCACACTGCCCAGCCAGCACCAGGGATTTTTACATCTGTATCACGACACAGGTTAGGGCAGACTCTGGAATAAGCAGGGGCCTTAAACCTCCCTGGGCCTCAGTTCCCTCATCTGTAAAACAGGGAATAAAAACACAGGGCTCATATGGAGAGTCAGTGAGCAAAAGGAAGTAGTTCTGCTTGGCTCATTCCCCACCCCCCCACCCCCGCCCTTTGCTTTAGGGACGGGTGGTTTCACTCCCCTGTTCTCCTTTCTGTACTTGCACCGCTCGCTGATGTTCATTAGGGAAAGGCCAGCCCAGGCCCGGAGTCGGGCTGAGGCCCTCAGGAACCACATTGGGGGACTCGCCACTTCACCTCACTGAGCCTACAAAATGGAGGGATGGGGAGTGGGGAGATTTTAAGTGCCGGGGTCAGCGCCTGGCATTCAGTGGAGAGTCCACACCGGTGACAACTGTTACACCAAAGGCAGAGCCAAGTGCTCCGGAGTCTGGGGAAGCACATACTCTCAAATGGGGGGGGGGGGGGCGGGTGTGGGTAGAGAACGGTGGCAAAGGAGGGTGGTCCCACTTCTGGGGTCTCAAGCTGTGAGCAGCCCTTCTTCAGGAGTCCAGTGCGGTGGGGTGCGTCAGGAAGAGGCTGGTGCAGAAAAGGCCGCAGGGCTGCAAGGCCACCACCCTCGCCATCCCAGCCGGCACCCTGCCATCAGGGAGAAACGGCCAATGTGGTGGCAAAAGACACCGCCCCAGAGTCTTCAGGTCAACGGGTCATCCTGCCCTCAACACGGGCAAGGCCAAGGTGGGGGCTCAGCTCACACAGTCCCTGGGGGAGGGCAAATTGAGCCCATCCCCTCTGCAGTGAAGGCAGCACATCCTGGCCTGGTGGAACCCACAGGCACAGACCACCGGAAAGAAAGCTGACTGGGAGCTCTGCTGAGTGGCACTTGGGGCTGCGAGCTTGTGGGGGGTGGGGTGGGCAAGGGTTCCAGGCTACACTTTCCTGACACAAGGTGTTTTTGACAGAGGCAGCCCTGACCCCAAGAACCATCTCAGTCGAAAGCCGTCTAAAGCATCCGCATTGTCTGGGGCATCCCTCCAAAGCACGCCATGATTAGTCAAGATACTTCCCAAACTGTGTTTCGTCGTTCCTTCATGTACAACAACACAACAATGTTCGGCTAAATTCTGAGTCATGTATTTGATGGAATGGTTTAAAAGAGATTGGCAAAATGTTATGTAGTAAGCTGCAAAAATGTTTATGAAAGTTACATGACAAAAGAATAAAAATAAGAGTGATGCAAACATTTCAACTAAATTGCCAGCCAGGGCTGGAAACAGAATAGTGTAAACTGATGGATGTTGGACAGTAGAATGGTGAGTCAATTCTGAAAAACCTCCTTTCACTTGTAATAATCGCTGTTTTGTGCCTTATTTTTAAAACAGAGTGAAAAAAGCAAATGAGATGCAGTAGTTCTGGAAATACCCACTGGAGGATCGCCGGCGTGGAGGAGCCGGCTGGACGCCATGAGAGTAGGTAAGGCGACTGGGAGGACGAATGGAGTGAAGAGGGAACTGCCCACACTGAGAGGCAGAGGCAGCCACGGGGCAGCAGAGCCAGAGGGGCCAGAGACACTGGGGGCAAAGGAGGGTGTGGTCGGAAGCATCCACACCTGGGAGGCTGAGGAAGCTGGCGCAGCGAGGGGAGTCTGCACTTTCCCCTGGGAAGGAAGGGTGACCCCAGGAAAGAGTTCTGGGGAATACCACTGACCCTGGGTTCATCTCACTGAATCCTCAGGCCTGAAGCAGGCGCTACGCAGTATCACTTTCAAACCCAAGCTCTCAGTGAAAGGGAAGGATCCCTCACACGTCTAAAACGCAAACCGTGTCGCTGACCCCTCATCTACTCACCCGACTGCCCGGGAGGAGGGATTCCACCGAGACCTCGAGGGAGCCGCACGAACACTGAGAGGACAGCAGCTTTGTTGCCAAAACACGGCTCCAGGGCAATGGGTTTAGGAACAGTCTGGTGGAAGAAAACAGAGGGTTGGCTAAAGTGGTCTTTCTCAAGCTTCAACAGTGAAGCCCTCAGATGTGACTTTTTAAAGATGCTCTCTGTATTTGTTTCTATGGCTGTGTAACAAATTACAAACTTAGTAGCTTAAAAGAACACATCCATTATCTCAGTTTTGTAGGTCAGACACCCAGACCTCTCCAGGGCTCGCTGCTTAGGGACAAAGGACTATTCATGTCTTCCCTCAAGTCTGGAAAATTCTTCGCTCTTATTTCATAAGTCTCAGCTCTTATCTTCACAAGGGGGAAGTTGAGTATCAGCAGCAGGGCTTTACTCTTCATCCTGAGGCTCTGGGGAAGAACCTGCTTCAAACTCATGCAGGCTGCTGGCAGAACCCAGCTCCTTGCAGGGCAGGCCCGAGGTCCTCTCTCCTTGCCAGCGGTCAGCCGCTCCCTTCTCTTCGAGTTCACGTGCGTCCCGCTCACGTGGCCTCTCCAGCTTCAAACCAGCGATGGTACATCGAGTCCTTACCACACTTCCTCTTCCGACACCAGCTGGAGAAAACACTCCTCATATTACTTCCGGACTTTTATGACTTCTGCAAAATCCCCTCACGGAACCACCTAGAGTTCGATGAACTAACCGTAAGACGGGAATCTTGGGGGCCATCTTTAGAATCCTGCCCATCATACCTCCAAATATGTCAGCAACCTCTTCGGTTTTATTGAAGGAACTAACTTCCAAAACCACCCTGGCTATGGCACAGGGCAATGACTGGATGGGTGAAATGGCAGAAGTCGGGAAACCAGATACGAGCAACTACAATAGTCCAGGTGAGACGGCAGTGGCCTAGACCCAGGTAGTGGGTCTGTAGTGGAGGGGTGTACAGTGGTTTGCAAATGCTTTCGATAAAGACAAAAAGATTTGCAAGAATGAGTCGAGAGTGATTCGTGGTTTGGGCCTGAGCCACTAGGATGATGGAGATGATATACGAGTTCAGCAAGACATGCCAGAGGAGCAGGTGTGGGAAACACTATACACAACTTTCAGATGAGTTAGGTTGGAGACACCTGTTCAGGCAGCCAGTGGGGACAATGAGCACGCAGTTTAATATATGAGTTGGAGGCTCACTGCCGAGATGTGAGTGGAGAGCTCATGGTGTTTAAACCCACGGATAAGACCACTGTGGGGGGTGGTTTTCTGGATGTCTGTGTAGTCCCAACATTCATATGTCAAATTATAACGCCCCAAGGTGATGGCATTTGGAATTGTGGACTTTGGGAGAAAATCAGGTCAGGAGGGCAGAGCCACCATTGCTGGGATTAGTGCCCTCGGAGAAGGGCCCACACAGAGCACCCGCATCCCTTCCACCATGGAAAGGTTTCGGCCAGAAGGAACCATCCATGAACCAGAAAGTGGGCTCTCAGAAGACCGTGAATCTTCCAGAACTGTGAGAAATATGTTGTTGTTTATAAGACACCTGGTCTCTGGTATTTTGTTATAGCAGCCCAAACAGACCATGACACTCAATCACCAAAGGAATAGATGCCAAAGACGTAAGAAGAGGCCTGAAGACTGAGCCTGATGTGCCCACGGTTAAAGGTGCTGGGGAGCTGGAGAGGGTTGAACAAAGAGCACTGAGCAGGAACAGCCTCGGGGAAAGTGGGCGACGTCCTGAGAGTCAAGACAGGACTAACCAACAGTGTCACATGCTGCTGACATATGACACACAATGGTCTTTTTCAGTACCGTAGGTTTATCTACTCTTTAAAAAATTTTATATTTTTTTTTAGAGAAGAAAAAGGAGGAGTAAAGAGAAGGAGAAAAACATCAGTGTGTGGTTGCCTCTCCCGTGCCCCCTACTGGGGGCCTGGCCTGCAACCCAGGCATGTGCCCTGACTGGGAATTGAACTGCTGACCCTTTGGTTCGCAGGCCAGTGCTCAATCCACTGAGCCACACCAGCCGGGCTGTCTGTTCTTTTCAATCCCACAAATTATTACTGGTTTACCAGGACAATGTCTGCTTAGATTTGTGCACGTGTCCACTTTTTATTTACTCACTATGCCTTATTATTCCATCCTCCTGGGGTAATTTTCCTTCTTTCTAGCACATCCTTTAGACATTTCTTTTGTACAGGTCTGTTGTGGGCAAACTCTGTTTTTCTTCTAATCAGAAGATATCTTTATCTTTATTTCATCCCTGTTCTTGGAACACAGTCACCAGGCACACTCTTCTGGGCTGGCAGTTCTCTTTCAGTTCTTTGAAGATACTCTTCCACTTTCTTCTGGTCCAGTGTTAACTAATGAAAAGTCAGCTGTCACTTTGTCACTCCTCCGTAGGTGATCTTTTCTTGTTCTTCCAGTCATTTTTAATGCAGAAAAATACCCGTAATGTAAAACTTACCATTTTAACTACTTGTAGGTGTGCAGTTCAGTGGCATCGGTTACACTCGTACTGTTGTGCGACCACCACCACCAACCACCTCCAGGGCCCTGTCCACCTGGTTAAGCTGAAACTCTGTACCTGTCAAACAGTAACTCCCCACTCCCACTCCAGCCTGACAACACCATCTGACCTTGTCTCTGTGAATCTGACTCATTTGAGGCACTTCATATAAGTGGAATCACACAGCATTTGTCTTTTTGTGACTAGATTAGTTCGCTTAGCATAATGTCCTCAAGGTTCGCTGATGTTGTAACGTGTCAGAATTTCTTTTTTTTTAAGGCCGAATAACACTCCTTTGCACATATATATCATGTTCAGTTTATCTACTCATCCATCAAAGGGCACCCAGGCTACTTTCATCTTTCAGCTACTGTGAATGTGCTTCTGTGGACATGGGTATGCAAATGTAGCTTTGAGACCCTGCTTTCAATTCTTTTGGGTGTAAACCCAGAGGTGGAATTGCTGGGTCACATGATTATTCTATTTACATTTTCTGATAAAAAACCAATACTGTTTTCACAGCGAATGCCTGATTCTCCCATTCCCTTAGCAGTGCACAAGGCTCTAATTTCTCCACATGGTAGTAATCATTTTTGGCTCTGGCTGATTTCAAGATGTTCTCTTTGTTTCGGAGTTTTCCAGTTCCACTATGATAAGTCCAACTATACTTTTCTCTCTCTCCTGCCTTCCCTTTGCTTTCTTTCCTTAATCCTGCTTGTAATATGTTTTGCGTCTCAACTCTGTATTTTGTGACTTTTATCAATTCTGGAAAATTCTCAATTATCTCTTTGAATTCTGCCTCTCCTCCATTCATTTGTTCTGGGACTCTGATAACATGCATGTCAGATCTTCTCATTCTAACCTCCACATTCTTATTATCTGTCATATTTTCCATCTCCTTGTGTCTCCTACATTCTACGTAATTTCTTCAGATTCATCTTCCAGTTCAAAAGCTCTCTTCTCACTTGTGTCTCATGTGCTGTTTACCATGTAAACTGAGTTATTTTAAAAAAATTTCTACTACTGTATTTTCCATTTCTAACCATTCCATTTGGCTGTTTTTTTCAGATATGCTTGACTCTTGTGGCTTCTGCATCTTTATGCTTCCATCTTTTGTTTTCTTTAAAGATTTTATTTACTTATTTTTATTTTTTTAATGTATATATATGTATATTTTATTTTATTATTTTTTAAATTTATTTTTATTTATTTATCTTTAGAGAGGAAGGGAAGGAGAGAAGGAGAGAAACATCAATGTGTGGTTGCCTCTCGTGAGTCCCCTGCTGGGAACTGGCCTGCAACCCAGGAATGTACCCTGACTGAGAACTGAACTGGCGACCTTTTGATTTTCAGGCCGGTGCTCAATCCACTGAGCCACAATAGCAAGGGCCCATCTTTTATTTCTTTAAACATTTCATACATAGATATCTTACATTCTCTACATATCAATTCCAACATTTGAAGTCCTGTCTAAATCCACCACCTGTTGTTGCTGACTCTTATTCACAAAGGCACGCCTCTCTTGTCTTTGGGAACCACTTTAGACCACTCATGGTTCTGGTTTTGGTTCACAGCTTGCTCCTTCTCTGCTAAGGGAAAGCAGAGTGATACCTGAAAATATTGCCTACTTCCTGTGAGCTCAGTAATGCTTTAGTATGGATGTTTTGTTCAGGATAAATAGCTCTTTTCCCAAAGTATCTGCAATATATCATGTTTGTTAAAACAGAAAGTCTTACTACTTTTCTCATCATTTGAAGGGGGGTCAGAAATATTTATTCTCTACAGTATTCATAGTGAATTATGATCTGTCACTTTAAAAAAAATCCCCAAATACTTACAAAGAACAATGGTTCAATTTAGCTTCATTAAGTTTTAAAGTATTATGTCATAGAATATCAGACAAATCATTTATATTTTAAAATCCCCTTAACATGAGATTTCTTAGTAACATTAACTGAAGACTAGAAAGTGAGAGCAAAGAATATATTGCAACTTTGCTATGTTGGCTTGTTATAAAAAAGAGAGAGGAAAACACGAGAGGCCACAGAATAAAGTTCTTGCTCTCTCAGATTTCCCAGACTCAGACGCGTGAGTTTTAACAAGTTAAGCTGCAATGACTCTGAATCACATTCTCACCTTTATAGTGCCCCCAATAAGATCAGGAGGCTCTTCATCGGTTTCCAAGGCAACGTTTACAGAGGCAAAGGGACGACTGGCCATCTGCTGCATCTCTCGAAGAAGTTGCTGGCAAATAACACAGCAAGCATTAATGCAGTGAGTACTGAGGGGACTTCGCGAGAGAATACTATATATTAAAAATATCTCATCTTCCCTGATTCCGACGACTCAAAGCCAAAATATTTTTACAACAGCTCGGGAAACTTGGATAAGAACAAGGTACTAGATAACGTTACGAATTATTAAATCTTGTTGGATATGGTCACAGTATTGCCATTATATTAAAGAAAAAAAATCCTTATCTGTTAGAGGTAAATAGTATGCATACAATACCTGCTGTAAATACATAGAATAAATCGTACAGCCCTCTCTCTTCCTATTTTTATTACTAGATTAAAGCCAGGCTTTTTTTTCCTGCTGACACTTAAACCAAGTATTTCTGTAGCCACAAAAACCTGTCCCTTGTTACACAGTAGGTAGGAATGGGAAAAGCTCTATTCACAGAGGTGGTACAAGCTAAAATCACTAACAAGCATGAAGTATTGCAGTTAGAGGGACAAGCAGGAGCTCTGGATTTAGCGAGGCTTGATGTGAATCCCGCTCCATCGCTCTTCAGCTGTGTGACCTTGAAAAAGGCATTGCAAGTTTCTGGGCTTCAGTTCCTTCCTCTCTGAAGTGGGTTTTTACTGCCGTGTGTCAGTGGGATCACATGAGATCCTTTAACTAGCACAGTGTCCGGCATGGGAGGGGGTGGGGTCGGTCACGTGTCATCGAGGGTATGGTCACGCTGCTGCAGCTCTGGGTCCTGTGTCAGGAGCCCTCCTGCAAACCATCCCCTAGGAACCACTGTCGGATTGAAAATCTTGGGTTGGAGAGATCATGGCTGTTTCAGAAGGGCATTTTTATGCTACATATATTTTAAAAAATACCAATAAGAAGATTCTTACATCTCATCAAGTTGTTGGTCTATTTCCTGAACAATATATGCAGCGACCTGCTCTGGGTCCTGTGCTATTCTAAGTGCTGGAGCCACGGTAAGACCCGTGTCCAGGTGCCATTCGAGTTCCTTTACGAAGAGTGCAGGACACAGTATGTGTAACAGCACGAAAACGACCTGGCACGTAGCAAGGACTTAGGCGGTATTAGCTGCTATTGTTTCTGTTGTTATAAATCACAACATTTCTTCCACAGTTCTGAGAGGGTTAAACCATGACTAACTGGTTAGAAATGATGAAATATATTCTGAAGGGTCAGATTCACAGTAACAGAGAAATTTACTGTGAAATCGCAAGGGTAACAACTTAGCTTATTGGTTGGTCAATTGCATAATAAGCATACTTTCTGAAAACATCTTTCTTCAAAAGTGTTCACCTTTTCCTTATTTTGTGTATGTTGCAATTATTTTCCAGTTGGTTGTCTTCTGTCTTACTCACTTTTTAATTCTTTATACACTTTAGGATTAATTTTTATGCAGGTAAATCTGTACTATACCGTGTTTCAATAATCTTACCTGAAAATAATTTTGTACCCTTTTTAGTAGTAACAGAACTTACTTCTCTTTCTCTCAGTGCAGTCTAGAACATCCAGAATAAAATTACGTGACTATGAGGATGACATGACAACTAGACAGCCTGTGAAGGCTGAAGTTCCAGGCTTAAAGCCCAGTTCAGCCTCTAGGAGACTGTGTGATGATGGGTGAGTTATACGTCTCTGGGCCTCAATTCCCTTCCCTGTGAAATGCGGCCGTGCCAGTAACTGTGTCATAGAGTTCGATCAGTTAACCCACAGAAACCTCTTAGGACAGTGCCCAGAATTCAGGAATGCTCAAATGTCAGCTGGTACTATGAGTAATTTATTGGTACAACCTATGAGTAATTTTATTGGTACAACCTTTGGTATTTTTTCGTCATGAATGGTGTTGGTTATCTTCAAAGTGTAAAGGAGGTATTATTCTTGAGTTTGCTAACATTTTATTTTTCAAGTAGGAATTGGTGTTGAATTTCAAAATGATTAAATGATTTCTTGGCCACTGCTAAAAATTTAGGTTTTATTTTTTTATTGACTTTTATTTTTTACTGGCCTCTATTTTTTGGTGCTACCTTTCTCAGGTATCAGTTTCAAGGTTTTCGTGCATAATTTAGGACTCTTCAAAATTTTATGTTTTTGCTTATTTGTCTGAGAGAGAGAGACATCGTTTTTGTTGTCCCACTTCCTCACGCATTCAATGTCTGCTTCCCGTAGGCGTCCTCACCAGACGGAGTTCAAACCTGCAACCTTGGCAGTAGAGTGGACGGCACTCTACCCAACTGACCTGCTCAGCCAGGGACAATTTAGGCCTCTTAAAACTTCTCATCTTATCTTTTGCTCTGGAACAGTTTACATGTTTTGAAAATAATTCTCATGACCACCCAAGGAGGAACAGACTATTATAACCATCATGAGCTCATCTCAAATTGAAACTCCCTGGTTCTAATAATGCCAATTGTGGAGAGAATAATATTTCGACAAGTTTTCAAATCCTTCTTCCCTGGTTACTAGTGTACTGTGGCTCCCACTCTTTTCTTACTCCATTTGGACAACTTGCATTTTTTCAGAATATTTACAATCCATTGGGACTTTAAAATATCTCGGAAACAGAGCTACTGGAGAATCCTCTGAATAGGTTATTCACTGAAGTTTTAAAATGAAGACAAAGAGGACGCAGCATTACCGCTGTGAGAACGTCACCTGTACATGGTCAGAAAAGGTGTCTCGGCCTCAGGAAGGGGCCCACACCCTGGAACCTATCTCGCCCCATTGCACACGCTAACACTCCATCGACAGTGCCGAGTGCTTCTGAGTTTTGGTTTTAGATATTCCATTCTCTTCCAAATCTTGCCTGCAGATTGATATTTTTTAGATTTTTAAAAAATTTACTTATTCTTTGGCAGAAGGGAAGAGAGGGAGAAAAATATCAATGTGGTTGCCTCTTGTGTGCCCCCCACTGGGGACCTCAACTGCAACCCAGGCATGTGCCTTGATTGGGAATCAAACCAGCAACCCTTTGGTTTGCAGGCTGGTGCTCAATCCACTGAGCCACACCAGCAAGGGCCACAGATTGACTTTTATACAGAAAAAAAGGCATGAGTAGACACAGAAAACAAAAGAGTGCATATATGTTCAGATCTCACTGTATTTCCATTAGCAACAGTGTAAATACCTGATGACCAGAAGGCAGAGTATTAACAAGTGAAAGCTACAATAGACAAAGTTCTTTTTTACTTAATTTTTCAATCATTTTTTGTTACTCTATTCAAAGTTCTTATGCTGTAACTTTTAACCAAGTGTTATTTATTTGACTTGTCTATTTTAAATATTTGCTTGACTCCTCACTTTTGGAATGAAGTTTTGGAAATATATCAAGACTCATTAAAAACAAAACTCAATAGAAAATTTAATTAGACACATATTTACCTTTCCTTGGATAATGAGACAATTTTGAGATGCTTAAATGGCTGATTTTACTCTCATTCTTAGGAAAGGCTCTTGTGAAGGCTGTGCTACTGGGCCCTCAGATCTGCAGCCTAAGTTAAGGACCAGTGTCCTGGTAGGACAGGTAAATCCAGCACCTGTAGGTCAATACTCGAGTTTCCTTTCAGAAAGTTAAGACCATGCAGGGAAGAATTATCGGTACCTTTTACATAGCACTACTTGAAGTCTGCTGGCCATCTGTAAAAAGGGTGGCGTCATTCTCACTGTGGATTTGTCCGTCAATGAACACCAAGTCGCTAACACTGGCTTAAGGAAAGTGTGTCAAAAGGCAAAGCTCTGACAAGGGGTCCGCTTATCTTTACCCACTGAGGCTTACCTCTCTGCGTCTGGAGGCCCAACAACTTTGTTTGATCTTCCAAACCACAGCAGCCACCAGGAGCAAAGAGAGGAAACAACTGTGAGAAAGGAAAGTACCGAGTTATTATCCCAGCCCCCAGAATCAGCAGAGCACCACTGTCATCCACATGTCAGGCCAGGCAGGGAAGTGATCCCCTAAACACCTACCCTGAGTGCCTCTCTGATGGAAAATCACAACCATGTCCATTCATAGGAAGCAAAGTGTGACAAGACTTTGAAAAGCTGAGCTTCCTGACCCCCGACCTTTTGGACTGTCTTGTCCCCAGGAAGTACCTGAGGAGAGCACTGACCTCCCATTGGGCCTTAACGCAATGGCTTACCCCACATAAGAAAAATAATGCTAACATAACTATGACAAAGAATAGCGTGTTATGTAATCTACATTAGCAAATGCTCACTGGGAAAGTCTAAAAATAGGAAAAAAGTTCATTTTAAAGTAATCTGATAAGAAGGGTAAATGTAGAAACAAGCTTATGTATCATAACACATTCAACTATACTTTTACAAAGAAATACATACATTCATAATAAGTAAAATGATCAACTTCAACCTAGGAACTTTCTTCAAAGTATTAGGCGAGACTAACTCCCAGTGGTCACATAATTCCGAGTCATTTCAACTTCCTCCCAATTGTAAACTGGGCACTCAGTGGTTTGAAAAGCTGCTGTAATAGCTATGAACTGACTTCTGATTAAAAGGGTTAATGAGCTGAACAAATATACCTCTTAGAGAATTGCTGAAGGAATTTTTAAACTGGCGTTTTCACTCACTAACTTGTGAAGGGGCTTGCTGCTGAGCATCGCTGCCGAGTGTCACCGCAGACGCAATGCCCCCGGCCTGCACCGTCAAGCACCCTCTTGCTGAGCTAGGTGTTTGCAGGATGGGTCGGCTTCACTAAAGGCAGCCTCAGTGCACCCAAGCACTGACCGACCCCAAGGCAGGCTTCCCAGGCTGGCTGGAGAAGGGCACTCATGCTGAGATGCTAGGATGATTAAACTTGCCCTTTCAAGGTTCAGACATCTCACCACTTCCCCAGGATGCAAAAGTGTGCAGACTCCTCCCCCTGGTACCCTAACAAAAGGCATGGGGTCCCAGGGTCTTCACTTAGAGGAGAGCCTTCGGTTACTATCTGCTGGTCCTCTCGGCTGTTCTGACACTGCTGGTCCTTCTTCCTTCCTGACAATCTCTGTTTTGCTGTTATCAGTACTTAATGGGCCAGGTCCCGGTCTAGGCTCATGGAGTACATCAGTGAACACAACAAAAGCTCACTGTTCTCATGCGGGGAGTTTACATTCCAGTAGGTGGAGACAAACAGGAAAGGAAATAAAAAACCAATATAAAAGAGTATGTCAGACGGTAGTCAATGCTACAGAAAGAAAAGATGGTAAGTGTAAGGGGTACCAGTGGCATTCTAAAGCAGAATGGCCACATGGGCCTTACTTCTTCAGAAGGTGACATGTGAGCAAAGACTTGGAGGTGTGGTATTGGAAGTAATCAATCTGGATGAGGCCACCAAGGGATTGAATACAAGTACATAAGAATGTCTAGGGGGCAGCCCAACTGTGGGGTCAAAGGCCATGGCCCGTCCCCATCCCATGACTGAGGGCTGGCCAGACGGCCACTGGCCAGAAGGAATGTGTACTGTTTGGGGAATGGAGTATAACTCCCTCCGTATCTCATTTTGGGAATGGCTTCTTGTCCTGTGACTGCCTCTGGACCTTTACACAGTGAGGTGACATAGTTTAGAGTCACGTCCACGTGCAGGACGTGTGCCTCCTTTGTCTGGGACACCTAGTAACGAGCCTCAGACTGGAGGAGGCGCAGTCCCTTGCACCGACCCGCACCACGCTCCCCTGTAATGTGAGCAATAAACGGCGTGTCCTCATCTGCTACTGCTCCGGGCGGTTTTTTCAGAGTATAACAAACACTTAAGGAGCTCCCCGTTTGGGGCTTGGAGCTCCTGTGCTACACAAACATCAACAATTTGGGAAGGACAAAAAGGAGTCTGAGAAAAGCAATCTCAGTCTTTTTTGGTTTCCATGGATAATCCCACTTTTTGCTGTTTTTATTCTAACAGATAAACACAAGGAGGCAGCAAATCCACAAGATATGAAGCAAATGAGAACAGCTTGTCAGCTGGTCAGGACACTGTTGCTGCAGCTGACTGAGGACAGGGCTGGCCTCAGAGGTGAGGACCCTAGTGCCACCCAGAGGCTTCTCCTGGAACTACCCTCTCAATACAAGGCTCAGAGGGTCCTTTTCCCCCTGAGGCCGGGGTGGGGCTTCTGTCTTCAATGCAGACCTGTTGAAAATACCAACACTGTCCCTCCCCACGCCCCCACCCTGCCCCATTCTAGTTTTTATAAGGGACACAAAGAGCCTATCAACATACAGTGATTGTCCCTCAAAGATGATACATGTGATTTCTTCAGGGTAATACAACAATAGAGAATTTACTAGTTATTCCAACGAAGGTGGCACCTGCCTGTACGTCTCCCTTCATTTTTTCCTACCACTAACTCGGCTACAGGTGGGGCTGTGTGCGACTCAGTGTTCATCCTATTACAGTCCCTCTTATCAATGGTTCTATTTTTCAATGCAAATGTAATTTAAAAAAGGCATCATGAAAAATTTCAATTATACACAGCAACAGAGACAACAATCTAGTTATTCCTATATGTCCATTATTTAACTTAGACAATTATTAACATTTTGTCAATGTTATTCAAAGATCATTCTTAAAATATTTTTTTCAAGCCCGGCCGGTGTGGTTCAGTTGGTTGAACCACTGTCCTGTAATTGAAAGGTTGCAGGTTCAATTCCTGGTCAGGGCACATAGCTATGTTGCAGGTCTGATTCCCGGTTGGGGTTCCCAGTCTGGGCATGTACAGGAGGCAACCAATCTATGCTTCTCTCTCGCATCAATGTTTCTCTCTCTCCAAAAGCAATGAAAAAATGTCCTCAGGTGAGGATTGAAAAAATAATAAAGTATTTCCTTCAACAGTAGGACACTGACCCAGGCTGGGTCCCTTACTTTCTGTCAGCTCCGTGTCTAAGGAGAAACCAAGCATCCTTCAGCCTTTTTGTTTTTAAACCTGTTCCTGTCTATCTGAGATGTCGAAAATCTATGCCTTGATTGTAGGTCTTTCTTTCCACATTTTTGTATGTCTTTTGAAAACTCAGTTTGTCTAAAACCTCCAAGAAATAGACATCTGATTATTTCTCACCAGCTTACCTATAATTGTGAAGCTAGAATACTATTTTTTAAAGAGATTTTATTTGTTTATTTTTAGAGAGGGGAAGAGGGAGAGAAACATCAATGTGTGGTTGCCTCTTGCATGCCCCCTACTGGGGACTTGGCCTGCAACCCAGGCATGTGCCCTGACTGGGAATCAAATCAGTGACCCTTTGATTTGCAGGCTGAAACTCAATCCACTGAGCCACACCAGCCAGGATAGAAGACTATTTTTTTTAGAATCCTCAGCTTTCCTTCCAGAGGTTGAGGCCATTAAAGAATGGTCTTCTTAAAACATAGGCAGTACATTCTCTGACATCCCTCTTAGCAATATTTTTCCTGAGATAGCTCCTTGGGCAAGGGAAACAAAAACAAATAAACAAATAGGACCACATCAAACCAAAAGGTTCTGCACAGCAAAGAAAAACATACAACAAAATAAAAGGCAATCTACTGAATGAAGATATTCACCCATGATACATCCAATTAAGGGGTCAGTAACCAAAATTTATAAAGAACTCATGGCACACAACACCAAAAAACAACCCATTTAGACATGGGCAGAGGGCCTGACATACGCATGGCCAGAAGACAGGTGAAAGACGCTCAACATCGCTGATCACCAGATGATGCAAATGAACCACAACGAGACAGCCCCTCACACCTGCCAGAACAGCTATCATCTACAAGTCAACAAACAACAAGTGTTGGTGAGGATGTGGAGAATAGGGAACCCTTGTGCACTGTTGGTGGGAATGCACACTGATTCAGCCACTGTGGAAAACAGTATAGGGGGTCATCAAAAAATTTAAAATGGAACTGCCTTATAACCCAGCAATTCTACTTCTGAGTATATACCCAAAGAAACCCAAAATACTAATTGGAAAAGATATATGCACCCTAATGTTCACTGTAGCATTATTCACAAATAGCCAAGCTATGGAAGGAACCCAAGTGCCAACAATAGATGAGTGGGTAATAACACTGCAGTACATATATACAATGGAATATTATTTGGCCATAAAAAGAACAAAATCTTACCATTTGCAACAGCATGGATGGACCTTGAGGGTATTATGCTAAGTGAAATAAGTCAGACAGAGAAAGACAAATGCTATGTGATTTCACTTACATGTGCAACCTAAAGAACAACATAAACAAACAGAACACACTCACAGATGCAGTGAACTGATGGTTGCCAGAGGGGAGGGAAACTGGGGGACTGGGAGCAAAAGGTGAAGGGATTAAGAACAAACTGGTAGTTACAAACCGGTCGCAGGGATGTTGAGTACAGCATAGGGACTACGATCAATAATGCTGTAATAACTCTGTATGGTGTCAGGTGGGTACTTGAATTATCAAGGGGATCGATCACTCTGTAAATTACATAGCTGTCTAACCACTAAGCTGTACACCTGGAATTAATATGAAATAATATTGAATGTCGACTGTAATTGAAAAAAAAAAAAAGAACAGTTTTCTCTTGCCGTGCTTCCAAATCTAGCCTTCCTTAAACCACATACGCATCTCTTGGCTTTGTCTTGACCTCCCAGCCAACCTGGGAGAACAAAGAGACATTGCCACTTCTTCCCAAGTTCCAGTGATTTATTTACACTTCACCATTCTGGTCAGGATTAGGCCCAGAGCGGCAGGATCCCATATCACACGTACGTTCCAGAAAGTGAAATGGTCAACAAGCCATGGATTTGTTAAATGTCTGCTGACAATGTGGCAAGAGTCTCGGTAGTGACTGAGATTAGGTTTTACGGAAACATGCTGCGTCTACACCAGGAAATGCCCATT